TTGGACAAGCGGACGACATGGCCACTATGTAGCCTCTGGTAACCAGAGGGTTATTAATGTGCTTGAATAAAGCTAAAACCTTCTTAACAACACCACAAATTTAATGAATAGATATAACATTGGAGTATGTCGCAGATCAGAGAAAGAGGGGATAACCAACTCAGTTGGCTTGGTGAGATTCTTTAATATTTGGCTCTATGCTTTAGCTGCGGGATAGAGTCACTGTTAAAAGCAGATTAAACTTTCTCTTGCACTAATAATTCAAGCAAAACAAACCGATATTGGCAGAAGAAAGTGTGCTACTTCTATATGTAAAAGTTTGAAATGGCTGCGACAACGGAATTTGATTTATTCGCTTTCCTTATGGTGAATAAGTACCTGATGTTTAGTCATCATTGTCTTGAAATTCGTTCAGCAAATGTGAACTGACACAACTGAGAGTTGGTTGTGTTATTACTTGACCAGTGCAGCCAAATCAATCCATCGTACTTTAAAATAAAAAAAGAAAAAAAATTAAACGATGACGCGTGTTTAGCGGGCCCTGAGACCTTCGGACGGCCACTTAGTGGGCCTGAACTGCTTTACGTAGTGTAGACACACTAGACTTGTGTGGCTAAGGAAGTAATTAAAACGGGTCAAATGCCCATTGAACAGGAGAAGATAAGGCTGCATGGTTTGTGCTACAGTTTGCAAAGTGACGTTGTTTGAAAAAAAGCACTGCTATAATATGGAAACCGCAAACTTCTTTTTCAGTAAACGCTTAATTTTGTTTTGTAGATATATTAATCAGGAAAGGGTTTGTTAAGTGGTGGCGCATCCTCACTTTGTTATAAACTTTTCAAAAGCCAACCTTAAAGCAATCCAACAAATGTTAACTTTTTTTGAATTGTCTATTGTAACAGGATTTAAACTGGATCTAAATTACATACAAAAATTTAAAAAAAAACCAGAACATGGGCTAGCTTATTCATACCACGACAATAAGCCAAGCCAGGTTCAATGTACCGTTCAGAAGAAATTATTGTGAATAAACATAAATTCATCGAGGAGCAAGTTAGTTGTTTTCTTAAAATAGTCAATAAAGTCCAAGCTGTACCTATTTTTGCAAAACTCGCCTTGATTGGTAGACAATTCCCATTGATTGAAAGTAAATATTTGCTCACACTACCCGGTTGATGGCAACATCTCAACGCAAATAAATATTTTGAATCAATGTCATTTAAAATGCAGTGGTCTGGAGGTTGGGGCTTTTCGCAACGGAGGTAGCTGTAAGACTTGATTCAAAAGCTGTCACGTCGAAGTCACAATCCCATAAAAGCTATCACAAAAAGCTACACTTCTGTTGATGTTAAAATTAAAAAAATACCAACTCTCTTTAAATAAGAGAAAGAATGAGGAATAGAAAATTGCTGCAGGTAGACGAGGTTATGAGCTGGGATACGTGGTAACTTGAAGGTACTTTTGTTCGGGTGAAATTTCATTATTAAGGGACCGCAAAAGTAATAAACCTACTAGACGAGAGACTGCTTTACGCATATCTGCAGTGTTTGAAGTTGGGAAGAAATACGTATTTAGTAAACGTCTGAGTTACCAGCAGGCCATTAGCAATTAAGTCTAATTTTGAGGTTTAGAATTATTGTTTTATTTCAGCTCCTTAAAAAGCATATTTTTGCAACTAAAATCCATTTGCTTCGGTAAAATTAGGAATAAACAGTGTAGAGAACAGCTCGATTAATATTAGATACTGTAATGTTTTAATAAGTGCTTCTGTGTCTATCAAAAGAGCATAGGCGAACGTTTTGGAGCAGTAGAGAAGGCTGAAAATTTATCCACCGAAGGCTCTGATTTTGCAAGGAAAAGGTTATTTAGCACAAGACAGACGCAATAGGATTAAATTTAAAACATTGTGCTTTAAGACTGGGTTAAGTGTCTACACTAAGTCGCAAGATGTATTTGCATTTATTAACTGTTGAGTCCAAGTTTGCGACGAACTGTTAGAGTGTAAGGAGGAAAATTGCGTGCCAACAAAATTTCTCTAAGACTGCGTTAAAGGCAACTGTGCAGAGTGTGTTAGAAATTTAATACAAACGATTTCAGTGTTTAAGGCAAATCCGTTGGGATGTGCTTTCGGTAAAGGTGTAATGAAAACCCAAAAATTTGGCAGCAGCTCAAAAAATAGAGTGTCAACATCCGAGATTACTCAATCAAATAATCCGACAAATAATATAATGGAAAATTACTATTGTTTTCTGAAGAAACAAAGAAAAAGTGCAGGAGATTTAAAAAAAAACATTTTTCATGTCAACTGTGTGTTTGAGTGTAAGAATATCGCATTATCATGCTGTTTAGCAGGTGTCAATTAGCTTACAAAGGTGGGTGAATGAAATTCTGGCATTCTTTGGTTGTTCACGAAGTTCTAAATATCACTGGTTGTTGTCCTGAATTCATGATGTGGAGTGCGTTTCAAGAAGCTATGAATTTGTGCTAGCACGGAAGGTGCATCTGCTTGACAAACTTGATCTACAACCAAGACACTTGATGCCCACAGAATTTCATCCAAAACAAGAACCACAATTAGCTTAGAAACTAATTATGAATGGAAGCCGTAAAGTTGAGTTAATGCAAATCGATAGTTACATGGTCAATTTATTGCGGCGGATTAATGACGCTCTTAAATTAGCCCAGTTCTATGGTTTTATAAACAAAGCTAATTTTTAAACGCAGACATTAAATAACTTATCGTGTTATAAAGCCTTTGTTGATTTTAAAGGACGATGTCGCAGTTAACACGATGTGCATGAATACCATCGATAGGGCTTTGAAATCAATCGTACTTAACTCTGGTTTTACCTTAAAACGTAAATCTTTTATTTTATTTCCTCTGAAGGTCATATTTTGTTATCAGAAACCTGGAAGATCGCTTCTTTGCATTTAGACAACCTGTGGTCTTTATAACCATTACGCTGTGTCTGACTTGATTCCATGTAGTTTGTGTTGCATTTTACAACTCGAACCACGAATGACGGAGATTTTCTCAACTCATATTATCTAAACTCGTAGTGAAATGTATGTACTTTGATAAACGCAGAATTTGCTATTAGCCCCAAATGGTAAGTTTGACATTCAAACTTCAGTTGGATTTAAAGTCATGCATCCATTGGTGCACCAGTGAGCCATTCACTGCTTCGTTAGGGGAAAGCGCGCCCACCAATATTTGCGCATGACACGCAAAATTGCAACTGCAACTGTGACCGCGGACAGCGGCAGATCCAGTCTGCCTTGCCGTAGCTGACCCAGTGGCGCATGCTCTCGCGTCATGTTGCCAGTTCCAGCTGCATTCCACCACCTGGCGTGAATAAAAAATACACCCATCTCAAGGACGCCTCTTCGGCAGCCCCCTGTTCCCAGCTCAGTCTAGTCCTTCCTTGTCGATCCTCTACCGACACTAGCTTAGCGACAAATCTTGGAAGTGAAGACGCCTTTGATCATATTCACCCCGCTATGAGCGATCAAAGGAATTCAGGGGAGACGACGAACGGAGGAGCTGTGAGCTGGCCCAGCTTCGGCGGAGCTCCTCCTAGAAATTTGTTTGACGAAGAGGTTAAGCAATCTTCACCGTCCATGTCAAAAACAAGCCAAGGAGAACGATTCACGAATACGTCGAGGGATAAGGTTGGTCTTCCGCCAAGCTCCGAAAATTCACCAAAGCGGAGACTAATTCTGGTCCCCGATGGGCGCCCACTATGTTTTTGGTCTGGCATAATGTGTGTTGCCTGTTTGTACAATATGTGGACCATTCCTTATCGATCTGCGTTTGATGAAGTGAAACGTTCGACTGCGTTGATTTGGTTTACCATGGATTATTTCGCCGATGCACTATACTTGGCGGACCTCCTATTTGGCTTTCGAGTTGCTTACCTTGAAAGTGGAATCCTACAAACACATCCGCGTAAAATACGTCAGCACTATATAAACTCGGCTCGATTTTACCTAGACTGCCTTTGCATTCTTCCTCTAGACCTTCTCTACATCTCAGTAGGTGTTCGGTCCATACTGCGCTTACTCCGGTTTGTCAAAGTTTACAAACTCATAGAATACATGAAAATGTTTCAGAGACGGACGGTGCATCCGAACACTTTTCGGACGATGGGCTGGTGCATTTGTGTGTTAACAGGGATTCATTGGAATGCCTGTTTCTATCAATGTGCTATGGAATTCCTGAGTCCCCCAATAAATTCGACGGTGGAACCGCTTGAAAGGTATCTTCAGTCAACATACACCAGTCTTCTATGTCTTGCTCTACGAAAGCCAACTGCGGAGGTGGAAGCGTACAGGAACAGATTTTTGTACGCACTGCTAATATTCGAAGGATTAGTTGGCGTGACTATGTTGACAATGCTGATTGCTAATGCGAATATGATTATTGCAAATGGCCACAAGACGGAAAACGAATTTCAAAGTAAGTTTCAGGCCTTTAGTTTTCAAATGCCTTTTAGCTGCAGGGACTTGTGTTTTTTGAGTAGCAAAGTGAAGCACCAGCTTAAAAAGCGCAGACATTTAATGCAGGATTTTTCCGAGTTTTGAGTCTCGTAGGGCTGCAAAGGCTTAAACCGTTGGACCTCTCCAGGGCTTAACGGTCGGGGGCATTAAAAAGGATAGTTGTGTTTACGTTATTAAGTACAAAAACATTCGATCACTCTGCAGGCCTTCATTTTCGTATATCTTACCCATTGGGACTTATTTATCATTCGTCTGTGTCTCCTTTACTTAATATAGTAGTATCAAAACTTTTACTATCTGTAAACACAAATGGTTGGCCAATCACATGGTGCAAAAAACTTCGTTGATGTTTTCAGTTTCGCCTTTACTCTTGACTAACTAGCGATAATAACACTTGAGAGAACCGCAAAATTTTTGCGCATACTTGCACAATAAATGTTCTTTTTATTGCGACATAATTATTTCTATAAACATTATTACTAAAAACCTTGAGACCAATTCCTTTGATAAATGCGACATGTTTAGTCCGCTTGCCGAAAAGACGCTCTGAGACCGTTATCACAAGATCCGGCCAGAAACAGCACCGGTGAAAGTCGTGAGCGGAATTTTACCTCAACTGCAGAGAACAGCCAAAATTATCCATTGCCAACCAGATAATTGATATATCAAAGTATGACCTAATTTTGCATTGGATAATGTGATAATTTCCAATCAGTTCCAGATAAAAGGTCACAGATTTAGCTGTTTGATGGCAATTATAGTGTCATCAAAATTCTACAAAGTGAGGTTCATTTAATTGTCAGACAGGTGGTCCAGTCCATTGTTGGTGATACAGTTAACCGACTTTTATAAATAATCAAGCATTTTTTGTGGGCAGCAGCATTGACATTACAGCATTTTTAAGCACTGGTTTGAAGCACAAGACTGCAGCATGGATTAATAACAGTGCGTTTTTAATGTTACAAACAAAGAGCACAATAAACGGTGGCTAGATGCAAAATGTGTATTGATTAAGAACATTCGATGCACGACACTTTTTTGAAAGCCCCGGCAATGGCATACTGAAAACGAAAGCACATCTGTGCAAAAAACTCGACCATGAGATTTATTTGCTACACCCTCATTTTTCTTTCACATGTGAAGTAGTGCTTTGGGTAAGTAAATTCAATCAAATTTTCCGTTGTAACACCACATTTAGCATTTTACTAGCCACAGGTAGCATTAGATACGTATTGTTTAAGGTAGTGTGTAAGAGGTTTAACAGTTTAACGGTTTTTTTTATTTAATCAAATGTTAGGCGTGGCTAAATCCTACTGTGCTGCGTCGCTTATTTTCAATAATTTGCAACATTTGCATTCTTCTAAACCAAAGCCACCTACAGGAAGTGTATTAGTGCCAAGTACTGCATTGTAGCAGACGCGGGTCGATTTTGTCTGGCAGAGCTTTATCTTTTTTTAATCCGCAAAGTGCTTCACGAGCTTTTCACAGCACTTGGAACTTCTCCTGTGCAAAGTGGTGAGATCACTATCACGCAACCCTTTTACAGAGAGAATATTCAAATCGTTGAGCTAACCTGATCTTAGAAGTGAAAAAATATTGCTTTTTTGTGAAGAAGATTGTGGGATTTGATTGCGTTAACTAGAATATCCTCAAACACATATCTTTTCTTGACGCGTGACTTCATCTGGAACGAATCAAGAACATTTCTTATTACTTTCAAACTGATGAACTACGGTGACCAAATGACAAAACGTTAGGTAGAATAAATTTAAAGTGAAAATACTACACTTTGTCTGCGCTGGATGGCTGTGGGTAAGGAATACAAAATTAAGTCATGCCAGGTGGCGAAGTATCATTATCTGATAGGGTTTTAAATTATACATACAACGTGGTATCACAGTTGAGTACGTAAATTAAAAATGACTGTGAACAATGAGGCTTCCTAATATTTCCTAATTCTTGGCAGCCATTGAAAACTGGTTCATCTCTAAGGCACGCTTAGTGATATTAGTGGTCGCAACAGCCAAAAAGGTAACTTTAATCAGGTTCGCGACTGCCTAGACCTAAGCTATACTGCAAGTACGATAGAAATATCGATGATCGATTTGTGAGGATGTCATCGAAATTCTAGTTCAGCTGGGGGATCACGTCGAAGTTACTGATTGAAGAGGTTCAGATTTGGGACCCGAATCCACAATGGATCACCAATTCGGGATCGTTTAGGTAGATAGCTTAAGCAAGATGCGTGTGCGTTGTGTGTAGTGTCGAGTTTAGTTATTAGTCTCAAAAGAGAGCAGGGAAACGGGAAATGTCTGTTGGTGGTTGAAATAACTAACATATGGAGGGGGGTGTGAATGATGAAGTGAGTGGTGTGGCTGGATGTCCTGCAGATGCGGATGGATGGGCAAAGTGCAAACAAGCGAAATTTCAGACGTTCCTACATAAAAATGTGGACACTAAGGCAAGACGAGCGGTCTGGACACGAATTAACATGGCGCATTGAAATTATTACCTATACGGATGAAAAAGGCTATAGAACTATAAAAATATATGTGGTACCACGACTTGGTAAAGTATTTTCCTTTTTAAAGCTAATTTTAATAAGGAGTTTCAAAGTCGGTCATGAGTGTTCTGCTCTCTAAGTTTCTTATAGGCAAAGCCAAATTTCAATAAGCCTGCTTTTATTCTCGAGACACGGATCAACGAAAATATTCCCGTCTAGGTCTGTAGTGATTGTCAAGGCAGGATAAACAAGGCAGGATAAACATCTGTCCAATTTCTATTCCTCGAGCATTGTCGAAGGGAAAGGATTTTTTCAGTAAATCATGGAATTCAAGGAGGCGCTGTTGATCTGAATTTTGGCCATTCAACCTCAACATGTCGCGATTTTACTTTACACGACGATTTTCGCTAGTGTGTGAAGTGGGGCAGCAGGTAGGACGTTACTCACAGTCGTCGATGAAGCGATTACTTAAATCTTGGTTCCGTTAATCAGAGTTTTCACTACACTCGAAAACCTTTTCTTCAAGTACTAATCAATTTATCCCAGTTACTACGTGCATTGAAGTGGCAAAAATATGGCTTTGTTTCGCATTGTCTTAAAGGGAGTCTGTGAATAAAAAAAGCACTATTCAATAAACATAAATGCGTCCACAAACATCGGGAAACGCACTGATAAATTCATTGCTTGAAATTTGCATGCTTCTGCCCTAAAGTGCACAATACGTATCAATCCTATAATATTCTGCTGAAAATTAGTTAAAATTTTCCTGAAAGTCTAAACAACTTACAGGTTAATTTAGTTTCTTTATTTACTTTTCACATAATAAATAAGCACAGCGCCCACGAATCCGTCGACTTATTATTTCACAATCAGAAGAATTTTCGTCAGAAAGTAGGCGGCTACCTAAAATGATTTTTTGTAATGCAAATGAGCACTTTGTTTTACTCATAAGTAAGATGGAAATGAACCGCAACAGCAATTTGAGTCTGCAGTGGTCTTTAATCAAACGAGCGAAGGTAAAGCTAATTCACTAGTTGATCGAATGTCATCGACTGTCCATTACAGTTGGCCTTCCACATTCAATCTCGCGTTGTGCTATAAAAGACTTGGATGGCAAAATGTAAATAAAAAGCGTTATATATTCGACACAATCGGTTCTGCCTAATTTCTTGTTCTGTGACGGACTGTCGACTAGCAGGGTTGTAACGTAGTGTCAACCGAGCCGCTACAAGTCCGTAGATTCTCACCCAAACAAGGTTACTCTGTCGTCAGTTATCACCGGTCTGAATGCGTCTGGGCATCATCACTCTTATTGCCTCAACGATTAGAACTCCCCAAGTAGAATTCAATACATTTCTATCATACACTTTGCAGATCATTCCAGATGTCCCTACCGTTGAGCGAATGGTAAGACTCAGTTGAAGACAGTTCAGGAAAAGTGCTTACATCCGAAGCATAAATGGGTGACTGCAGGGCAATAGGTCAGCTCCTCATTTGCCATTTAAAGCAAATACAATTTTTGAATTTTAGTCACTCCTGACTAATTATCACCTCAGGCGTTCGCAGATTACACCATCCGATTTTTTCCTCCATAAAAAAAGTCACCAAGAAGAATTTTATAATCAAACCTCTACAATGGACAGCATGCACAATGCTGCTTTGCTGGCAAATAAACCAAACCTAGAATGACTCTTTGAAATTATATTATGTGAGGAATCACGGGAAACGATTCTGAAATGCGCCTCCTTTATTAAAAAAGAAATCACGTGACTCAAATGAGAAGAGGATATGGCACGTACATTTAATTGAGGAGACCGGCACTAGGTCACGATTTCATAATGTACAACTATCACGAATTTCGAAAATATTTTAGTAAATATCAGTTGGACAGCTTAGAAAATCAGTTGAAAAGACAAGAACATTTGTATCAAACAGGAACATAATTAAATCGAGAATGATATTATTTTAACAATAACGTGCAATGTCACAGCTGAAGAAATGAATGCCTGGTAAGTCACTCATCATCTGGAAGCATTTTCATATTTACCAATCATGTACTTTGTCACTTACAGGTAAGACCCTCAGGACTTTATGACTGTATATTTTGGCAGGTAAGAATCCTTGTAAGGCTGCGTAATAATCCCGCAAATACTGAAAACGCGTTTTTTCTGGTGGAACTCTACCTACTGTTTGGCTTAAAAAGGCGGCAAAATGTAAGCCTGAAACGGTTACGAGGGCTATGGATAGTCAATATAAAGTTAATTTATCGATTTAAGTATGGGCATTTGCAGTGCTTGAAATTAGCATATTTCAGCATCAAGCAATCACAAACGAAAAGGGCGCCTTGTCCTTTAAAAGATTACTTCGCGCAGTCTTGACAAAAATCATGACACGACCAAAACAATCAGGAATGCAACGGAGTTAACTGGGGCACACTAATAGGATAGATTCATAGATAAATTAATTGCATTAGATGAAACACACAAATTGCCAGGCTATTAAATTTTTACGAAAATGGCTTACTACAGATTGAGTAAACCGTGTAAGGTGCTGCAGTACCAGTTACTTTCTCCTAAGGTCATTTAGTTCTTTTTTTGGCAGAAGATGTCAGCTGCTAGCACGTTTTGGCGCACCTGATTTTGCCGAAAATTGTGCTTTAGTTTTTATGGCGTAGTTAAATGCACCGCCAGTTGCAATCTTTTCAATGTCCTTTCATTCTGTTGCAGCTCGGTTGTGTAAGGTTTTTCTCTTGGCCACCGATTTATCCTCATTCATTAAAGAACCACTAGTAGTTTTTGCAATTCAAAATCCATGCCTCTGGTCTTGTTGATATCTTAAAAGATCACTAAATTTTAATTCTTTGAAGAACTTTTTATGAGGTTTGTGTAAATGGTGCAGCCACCAACTCTGCAGTCACATGTCCAGACATCTTCGCTCGCCACCCCTCCGTCCCAGTGTCCCAGTTGCTCAAGCGGACATACGTCACTCCCAATACGCTCATAATCATTCACAAAACCGGAATTTTTACTCCCTTATCAGAAGCCCAATGGTTAGCAAACACTAAATATTATGTCCATCCTCATTTCTGTGATTTATCGGCGTACACGACGTGGGATAGCAACGGTTCGAAACGCAAACACACACACACACAACACAGCTAAATTGGGTCACCGAATGTACACTCCTCTCCACGTTACCTGGCGGCTCGTCAAAATGTAGTTTGTCTATTTACTGCTGACACATTTCGAGTTATGCATGGGAATGTTATCTTGAAGTACATACGCACGCGGATGTTTTGAATAATGACACACCGCTCGTAAAACGCATTTCCAAGTTGCATCATGCCTCAAAATGTCAGATGCATTTATGTTTTAGGTACTGCATTGGTTTCAAACCAAATGTCAACAAGGAATTTCAGCACAATTTTTTTAATTTGGCTTAATTTTTCTCAATTTTTTTGTTTTAATGGAATATGCTATATTTTCTCTGCACGATTTCTTAAGAGGCTTTTCATCTTTCAGGGCATATTTTGCAATATCCCAGAACACTAACGGAAAGACGATTTGTTTGAATTATCCTTACGAATTCTCCTTAATGACACCACAAATTAGCACGAAACCGTAATCTGTTACCTCTACGAGTGCACAATCATGTTAAGTCTTTGTAAAAAAACCCTAAGTAGATTAGAAGAGGTGTTTTTCGACAGTAATTAATGGCAGAGTTACAGAGCGCTTTGCATCTGCAGTTTGCTCCCTACAGATGCAAGGGTGCATCGGTGGGAAATAAAGAGCATTACAGAAAGTGGTCTTAATGGGAAAACTACTCGCATGATACTTCTAATCATGCATATAGAAAGAAGGGTTCGATGCATCGTTCAAAAGAATTTTTTTCTCTATCCATGATACATATAAGAGCATTCCTAGCGCATAAAGTCTCAGTGAAGCCGGTGTTAATGTAAAATTTCTTTCCACAATCCCTAACATATATTTTAAGGAATTCACTAACGTAGTAAGTTTTATTTAAGTCTTATTCGGGCTATCATTGAGCTCAGTCTCGTCAGTCCATTAGTTAATTTATACACGATTTCTTACATTTGCATGTCAATAGGTAAAAGTGTCTTCAAATGGAGTTTGTATGGCTGCAAATAACACGTTTTAATCTTTAGATAGCGTGGCAAACTCTATTAGTAATGACAAAATTTTAGCCTGGTGTTTGTTGATAAAGTGGACAGCACAGCAAATCCAGTCTTTTTGAATACGATCCACTACAATAATTTTCTGCCTTTGGTCCATTTAGAACAGACCCTAAAGTGCGATGCAGCTAAATCACACTTTCCTCCATAGACTGGATCATTTAGGGTTGTATCAAAATATTTTGTTTGTTGGCGAGGTACGACCCTGACCTGTGACTTGTATTGACCATAACACACAACTCTACCTTCAAGTTGTGGATTTTTGCCACGAAAATAAACATTCTTTTTAAATTATTAATTTGTGACTGTTATCGACCACTTTTCAGAAAAATCACTCCATGGCCATGAGCCAAAATGGTACTGTCAAGTCAAATTAATCTAAGAGTGTAGTGAATTACGACCAGGAATTATCACCCCCCCTATCATTTAGCATAGTTAACTGTGAACACACGATATTTAATGTCAAACATTTTGCAATGTAAAATGGTCAAGTTGCACGAATTATGCACATATATTTAATGAATTCAACGTAATCGTAGGAAAACAGATACATGAAGATCTCGTTTTTCCAAAATACTGCAATATTCGTCTGCGATTTACAAACTGTAACATACCTTTTTCAGTAAATTGATGTCGATTTGGTGTACATTAGCACATTGTGATGTAAGACTTTTCGGTGATCCTGTTCAATTAGACTCGTCCATGGTCAGAAATATATGAACGCGATTAAATCGAGGGTCAAGGCATCACTAGAATTAATCCGAAACCAGCTCTAAAGTCGCTATCCCAATGGCTTGTTAAACAAAGAATTTCGGCTCTGGGCTTCCGTGGTTAACGTCGAAAACGCGTCATTTTCACTCAACTCTTGAATTTGCAAATTTACCTTTTTTCAGGACAGCTTGGGGAGGTTAAAGCTTATCTAGTGCGACGGAAGGCTCCGGAAACTTTGAGACGACGCATCATCTGTTGGTTTGATTATCTCAAGCGTCAAAGTCAAATTCCTGACGAACAAAGGGTTTTCAAGTATCTGCCAGATCGTCTGAAGGCCGAAGTGGCAATCCACGTCCACCTTGATATGCTCAAGCGCGTTGACCTCTTTCAAGACACTGAAGAGGGATTTCTCGTCGACCTTGTCCTTCGTCTTCGACCTGCACTTTTTTGCCCCGGAGACTTTATTTGCAGGAAAGGTTCGTCTAGCCATTTAAGTATTTATTCGTCCACGAATGCTATATCATGCATCACTGATTCACGCTTCACTGTTATCCATTATAAAGGCAGTTTGTAGTGTATTTTTGGCATAATTTACCATTGTGATTCGTACGTCAGCTTGAAGAAGTAACGAAAGCTTCGTTTAAAACAATACAAGATCGACATAGGTACAGTTCACCATGATAAGTGCATAAGTTTACTTGTCGTAGGCAATTTGTTACATAAATAAGGACTAACTGCAATGTTTATAGAAAAACTCAAGATAATCGTATTCATTAAATCAAAGTTTATTATAATTTTACAGATTTGTTGAAAACTTAAATTAGTTTTAAAGCATCAATGCATTCGGCAGACCAAAGCCTACAAATTGTCTACTTTTAGCCTCTTCATCAAACTTGTTAATTGGTGTCCACCGTTCTCAGCTCAGAAAATAGCATCTATGCGGAGTGGTCAAAGTGGACGAATCTTAAGCCAAGTTTGGGCTGCATTAAGGAGGCAACGGGAGACTGCATTAAAAGAAACGCTTTGATTTTGTCACGTTTGCAAGAGAGATGCAAAAACTAACGGCGCATTTTGTGTTCGGAACCAGAGAATTATAATTCATAATGGCATAATGGCACCCCTTAATGACTGCAGCTTGCATCCGCCGATAGTTAAATTGATGGGGAAGGAAATGGCCGAACAGGGCAATTTTCTCTACTTTCTTGAGGTAACTGTCAAAGTTTCATAAAAAACCAATGATTCTCGTTAAGGGAACGGACACTTTCCAGAGGGTTCTCCTTTCCTTCCCATCGGTTACTCGTAATTAGTAAATAGAAAACTTCCTAATGTGACTTCACAGTGACTAAGCATAAATCAGCAGTCATTTTGATCGTTTGTATATGATTTTTAATGCGATTGGGTGGGAATGACGTCCACCAATAGTTCAAAGAATACTGCATTGAGTAGAGAGTTCAGTAAATTTGTTTAGCTAAATACAGTAACGTAAATTTGTCCTTAAAAACCAACTCCCAATTAATAAAAACAAACTTTGCATTGTTTGAAAGATGCAGTTTACGTACTCAGACTTAATTAACTGATGCTGTGCGCCATTCATTATTGGTGACAGCAAAAGATATGCTTTTAACTATTCCGACATTCTTGAAGGCAACAAGATGCCTTTATCAGTACAATTGTGTAAAAATATGCTACCACGCCTTCATAAACAAAGGTCTTTGATTATGGATATGAGTTTCCACTAGATGAGATGCTACAGGAAATTTACAAGCTACAAATGTGAGGTTAAAAAATCGGTTAGTGGTAAGCAGTGGGGAATGTGGTCCTACGAAAGGGAAGTTGGTTTAAAAAAATCTGAAAAACACGAGTAGTTGAATGACATTGTTCGCAATTTTTTATTTCAGCGTATATTTTGCACAAACGTAATCGAATCAGTTCTCAACTCTTTGATTTGTGTTTGTCCTGCAACATTTGATTACATCAAACACCCACACAGAGACTATTTTGATTGGCAATGTATTTCTAGTCCTTTGTGCAACTGGCCATGCACTAGAATCGCCCAATTTAAATCCTTGTGTTCATTTGCAAAGTATCCTCACTATGTGACTTGAAATCCAATAAATAGGTTTACGTAGAAGCATTGCCACTTGTTTTGTCGTAGAGCCTAGCCCAATTAATTGCGGTTTTATTTTGTGATTTATGCAACAACGCAAATGTAACGATTTTTCACTTAAATTTCGGCTACGGCTGCATCATTATTTTTATTGGGGAATTGTTTAAGTAACAGTCAAAATTCAAACAAAGGCATTTCAGTATTCGCTACAGAACAATCATCCTTAATGATATTCGCTGAAAGCCCCCCGTGATAAAGTCATGACTGGAAATGATGAGTCTTAGTGCTATTATAACTGAACCAAAAAGCCTTTGCTTAACTCTCCGCTTGCATATTACTTTGATGTGGCGTTTGATTTGGGACAATGACCAATTTATGTCAGTTTTAATTAAGACCTATATCTTTACTACGTCTGCTAAAAACGTCTTTACGGGGAGTACAATTCGACTGTTATGTAAAATTGCATTGCGGCACTACGCAAGAAATTATTTAGACAGCGGAAATTAGAAGTACAATAATTACTACAACACCAAACAGTAAATAATTATTTAATTCAAGTTAACTAGGCATTCTGTCCTTCTAGGATATTTTTGTCTGTCTGGTCAAAAAAAACGACAAACCGGAAACTTTACATGCCACGGAAGGCAATTTAATTGACATTCATTGGGCACATTTATTTTGTAACAAAATCCATTTGGCCACTTGTGACGGAAAGTTCCGTAAAATTTAACACGTACTTTTAACTGTGCGGTAGAGTTTACTCTGACGATTTCTTTTTATTTCTATACGTACACATTTTATGCCTAATCAGTTTAACAATCGACCAAACCTGTAGAGAGAGCAAAATGTGCAATAACGTGAAGCGATATTGACAATTAATGGAAAATCAATAAACAGGGTTAGTGTGGTGTACTTGAATTTTGCACAACATCATATAAAAGTGTTTTAAGAAATTTTTTTATTTGCTTCTACCTGGTTGCTTTCTATCTTAAAAATGCATCTTATGGTTTTCCTCATTTCCTGATGCTACTCAGCGGAAAAAAATTAGTTGAGTTAGGTCTCTCAACATGAATGTTATGCATTTCCATCCTCATTCTACCCAGATTTCGAGGTGAAACTAGGGTATTCTGCTGAATTGCGGATGTTAATTTGCGAAGTTTAATAGAGAAAAATACGCTGCAAGCGCAAGCAAAATTTACAAATATACTAATATATTTCAAAAGAAGTTATGACATAATACAAAATCAAAATTTGGCGATTGTGAAATCCATTCGTTGCACCTGTTTGAACTTACCTAAGAACTAGACGACTACGAAAACTGTTTTCTGAGAAATCAATAAATCGACAGGATGAAACAGCCATAACCGATTTCGAAATTATCGAACAGAATTAAATATTTGTGTAATGTGCATTATGAGATCTCGGAGGAGGAAAGTAATGCCACCAACGTGTGCATTCTATATTATTGCAGTTTAAGACTCCAAGACGATAATTCATGCACGTGATTGCAAAAAATGTCATCTTACGGCCTAACAGGATTAGCCTTCAGAAAAAATGTTGAATCCTGGGTAGTACATTACAATTCACCCTCCTTTCAACCGACCACGGCGAATTGACCGCTATCTTTAGTGGCCAGCGCGTTGATACTCTCAAAGCAGAATCTGGCCGAACTTATTCTGGATATTTCTATTCCGGAGCCGCTACCATCATGTATCGAAAACATCCGTGATCTTAAATATCCCCATGGAATAAACAATTGATTGAGCAGAAGAATTGACAACTTAGCATGTTTTAGCATTATATGCCACTAATAATCACAGTACTTTTTGAATTGAGCTGTGAAATTTTTCGAGCCTAATGTGCATTCACTGTGGACTTCGTAGTTCCCGTTAGAGTAAATTATTTGCTAGAAATTTGTCTTTGCGTGGATACTTTAGCTGAATTTAAACTATGAAGCTATTCGTGTTAATCTAATTACTTAAGCAAATTAGTTTTTCCACTTGTGTTTCGTTTCAACTATTTTTGGAGTTGCTTGTATTAACTAAGCCGTTTACTCGAAGAGTTTTAAAAGACTAATTCGTTATTGCCTCAGCTAGGCATCGAAGACATATCAGATGATTTAGGTACTTTAATTACCTTCTTAAATCAAAAATCATAAAATTTGATACTTGGGCAAGATATTTTTCACGATGATTCCCATTTTATCTTGAAATGGTTTCTCAAATATTGCGATAAAATTGTAGATTTGAAGCCTCACATATCACCATTCCTGAAATTAAAACCCAATGATACATAATGATAGTTCACTTGGTATAATAACAGTCGTTGCAGTGAATCGTGCCGATTCAACCCCAGGCGCCAGATACGCCGACACGCTGCCCCTCTTTTCACGCGGACACGCCTGATCACGCACGCGTATGCACACGCCTCCCCCGCCACCCACACCATACACCTGGCCACTCATTCATGTGTACTCCTGTTAGTTCACTCAAACCGTGTCAGTTGACATCCTTATCAGTCATGCACTACATTTCATCCGCCATTTTTAGTTTTCTTTGTCTTCTCCGGTCAAAACAACGCAGTGGCCCCAGTGTGGTTCGAGAACACGACATGGTATTGCAACTACACAACTTCCCATATTGTTTGATGTAACTAATGTGGGTACATTTTACCTGCCTTTGGCAACTAATTTAATTGTGCGAAGTATTTCCTAAAGTTCCTTTCACAACGACCAGCGCTGCACTCAGAGGAGTTCTTTTTGTCGGTTTAAGTAACCAGTCTTTTTCAGACACACTTAACAGCACGACGGTGCTTTAGAGGCGCTGGCTGTGAATGGGACCCACGTGATCATGAAAGAAGTGTGGGTTTTTAGGTAAAGTGCCTAAGCCCTTTACGACCGCAAAGTAACCCATTAGCTTCAATTAGTGATTTAACTTTCATGCCACTTCACACCAAATGTCTGTGTTCGCTTTATCATCATTTCATCATAGCCTTTTTGGCATCAGGTACTACGCTTCGTTCTACAAAATTATCCAAACAATTATAAGCTTGTAATACTAGTATAATTGCGCGAAAAGTAGCCTGGGACACTAGTATCACTGAGTTTACGGTGTGTACTGCAAGCCAGGCTAAAAATTAGAAATGTCAAGTTTGTGTGTGTGTAGGCGTTAGGCACATGGTAACTTAACGAACTCGTGTGAGCTTACGATTGACATTTAATGGTCTAAATAATTCGTTAAATGAGATTTAGTTGGTGCAATGAGCGGATTTTTTGGATCAACGGCATCGACTGGTGCCTTTAGAATTTGAAACCCGACCCTTCCCCATGATTGACGATTTACTTGCATCAAACGATAAATTAATGTGGCGCCTAATTTTTGTTGACCGATCCATGAGGTTGCCAGAACAATGCGCGACATCAGCACAATTAACTTGGATATTTCATCAATCAGGTTAATTCGTAATTTATACTCATTAACGTGCATTCTAGAATTAAATCAAAACACCGACTTTTGAATCACAAAGTCAAAGGCTGTCGCAAACTCCAAAGTGGTTCAAGTGTGCTTAATTAGATCTACTTAAAGATCCGGCTGATTTTCGTCTCGAAAAGTTCTTAATGTTATCAGACTTGACTTTGAGCAATCGAAATGTACTCACTAGCGCAGGTTTTCAGAAGCACAGAGGTACAGCTCAATGATCCAAATGTTTGCTTAGGAGCACATTCAAAAAAAAATTCCGCATTATCTTCGGATGCTCAAAAAGGCCCTTTAACTGTCTACACTTAGGCTACAGTTGAAGCCGTAGGTTATGGTGAGTGAAAAACAAACAATTTTTCGATCGAGAAGATAGTTTTGTTGTTTATAGGAACGGAACAAAATTATGTGCAAACATTTTCTGACCCAAAGAGATTGGGTGACCACGAGCTTAACAAAGTAAATGGTGCCCATTCACTACTAGTTCAACTTCCTTTCCTTGATAAATGATTCAACAGAGCCACTTTGGGACCACCAAGAAATTGTGAATGACCTTAGAAATATGATAATTTATATTTAATAACCACGCGTACACCAAAATTTTGTGATTAAGACATCCTGGAACTAAACTAGTCTTACATTTTGTAGAAAAGTCACTTTTAGTCTTATACGGGGTGGTTATCACTAGCAAATTACAAATTGCATGGTTTCGGCATTGGTAGTAAATAAATATTGTGTGGCATATTGTGCTAGGTAGTGTCTTTGTTCTAGGTCCATTTGTTGGCATTGGCTCCGTAACTGCCACTCAGCTAATAGCCAAGCTGACTGCAACGACCTCGATAAGAAAAGAACTTAGGATTGTTGTGATAGGTGTTTGAATAATTTCGCGCACCGAAATCTGGGCCTCCAATAGAATGGACAAATAAGTTAACATGAGACACGACGAAACCAGTGAGATATTCTAGACACGAATTTTAACGCATGTACAAATTGGGGACTTCAAACAAATCGCCATTTCACTTCCGGGACAAATGAGTTACAACGTCGTCAAATTTCCACTTTGATGAGTAAATTCCCAACTTTTTGAATTGGTGTGCAGTGAAATAACTAAAAATACTTTCCTGAACAACGAAGCAAATCAGGTTTTAAAATTTAACCAAGTGCTTGTATTTGTATAAAATAATTTTTTTAAGATTTAAAAAACACATCTCGACAGTTCATTTGTCGAATTTTAACTAAACTGGGTCGTAATTAAACACAAGCACTATTGAATAACCGCTCATGGAATATTTCGAATAAATTACCCTAAAATAATTTTTACTGTAGGTGAAGTTGGTCGGGAAATGTTTCTTGTCAGCCAAGGAAAACTTAATGTTCTCGCTGAAAATGAAAACACAGTGCTGGCGACGCTTGGTCCAGGTAGCTACTTCGGTGAAATTTCCATTCTCAATATGGGGAGTGTAGGCAATCGGCGAACTGCTTCTGTACGCTCCCTCGGCTATTCAGACCTCTTTTGTCTGTCGAAGGAGGACCTCTGGGAGGTCTTGAACGAATATCCCTCGGCAAGAGAGAAGTTGGAAAAGGTGGCATTGAAACGACTCAGTTCTTGCCGAAATCAAACGCAGTCCGCCGAAAGTAGCGCAGGTTTGTTTTGTAGTAAATGCCAAGCCCAGTAGTTTTGTTTATCTTATAATTCTTGAAATGGTATCAGATTTCCAAATGGAAAGCATTATTAGTCTAATTTAAGAATGTCCTGCAAATTAAAAAAAGACTTATAATGGTAATTACGCATTCCATGGGCCTATGATGCAGTTCGTGGTCTGCAGCAATGATATTGAAAATTCAGACAATTTGTTCTTTTGATGTACCTAGAAATTCTCTGCAGGTTTGGCTCCTAAACCAAATAGGTGAGAGTTAATTTCACCAACGGACGCTCCGAATACAGTAGCAGCTGTTTACCCTTCGCATGGAAATTCAGAGGTCAAAATGACTGTAACCCGCCTGAACCAGATCATGATGCCATTGAAAAGATGTGATAAATGGAGATTCAACCAAAAATAGGACATAAAAGATCTCGGTGTTTTTGGAGCTGTTTTGCTTTCGCGGTAGGATTTTGTGTCAGATTTTGGATAAAATGATTTTTCTGATTTTTTATACTTTTCGATTTAGAAAATGCTGTGTTTATGTGCAGGTGGGACAGCACAGGTCGGATAGTCGAATTTTAGCTTTCCCAACTGCATAAACTATATCATTTAATTAGAAAACTTAATTGAGGATCTAAAATTTCAAACTGATCTCCAGTATATTACAAGCGAACCCTCTAGAGTTGAGAAACGTAGCTGGTATGGCATACATGTTTGGTGCTTATCTAGAACTGAGTCATACCCCCAATTTCTGGTGTAGACCCTTTTGAAGGCCCCTGAGTGTGGTCTCTAATTGCACCAGGACTACACCGATACCCGGGAATACTAAGAAGACCGAAAATGAATGAGACAACCGTTTACTAGATAGCTGAATTAATGTGTGCGTGTGTGTTACACCCCTGTCCCTAGAAGGTTATGTATGACTAATAGGTTCGGTGATGCAGCTTAGGTGAACTTTTAAAAGTGCAAGTGGGTGAATGGCCTGATGAATGAAGTGAGTAAAGGGGGGTGGTGCGTACACGTGGGCGCATGAACAGGCGGTTCCATTTAAGCAGTGGAGGCGCTGTGGAAAGAGGCCAACGAGTCTGCATATGGGATGACCGGGTTAATGGAGGTGAATCAGCAATATTAAATCCAACCCAAATTACTCTTTTATGCTTACGACTCAGGGCAATCGTCCTCTCAATAGAGATTTTGGCGACGAGCTGTTATTAAACATATTTTAGTCAAAAAACTCATTTAGGACTGCAACCCATAAGCATCTTGGAGCGAATTTGGATCTAGTTGAGCTGCTGTCCCAAAAAGTTACGCGGAAAGATCATGCAATCTTCCTGTTGAATTGTAATAAAAGCGTTGTTTTTGAGAGTTACCATTGTTCTAACCCAAAACAACTGGTTGTGCATTTAATCTCATGAAATTCTAGCTCCCATTCTTTTATCTTTGCTTACCGACTATTTGCATAGTACCTTTGTAACCCAACTACGCAACGTGTCACAATGCATCGTCTGGTACTGTAACAAGTGGACGCATCTCGTCATCTCTGATCACTCGATTGTCCATTTAGTTCCTCGGGCTTTGAGGAAATCACTTCCAGTTACTAAAATATTTTTTTTTCAAATTTAACCTATGTTATGTTCAAATAAAATTATAACAGGCAGAACTAATTTGCGATGATTACTATTGCGAACTTTTCATTCCGTTTATTAATGTGTTTTTGGTACTTTGTTGGATGAATTAAAATCACTTGCAAGCTCGAACAGCAACTTCCACTCTTTGCTTAATCATGCATAAACCACTCTTCTTCAAGTTAAACAAAGAAAGGCCTTAAAATTACCTGCAAAAACTGTCAATAGGAAAGACAGTTTCTTTTGCTGCACCTAACTACCGAAAGTTCTAGTGGTTCAATCTCAATTTTCATGTATATTGAGAAATCTTTTTATGAGACGTGTTGGTCTGGAAAATGGTCACTTTTTAAAAAAATAGTTTTGCATTCCCTGTCAGTTGTAGGGGGTGAATTCCCATAAAACTCACACTCAAGCCAAAATGATGGTGTCTAGTCAGCATGGTTTCTCTTCGACCCTTTTTTAGACAACATGAACTCTATGGAAATACGAATCCATCCTCAGCGAAGTTTTTCTACGGTATCCTCTGTTTCTCGAAGATTCCCCCTTCCATCTCAACCACCACCACCACCACTTCCACCTGTAGCAAGAATTGGACTTAAACGTCGGCGATCCGCTTTATCTGCGGCGTCGTCTTATCTTTTGTGTCAATGTCCTTGTGCCCGTGATCGTCACACTTCGCTTGTACGGAGTTTCTCAACCATTACGTCCCCTCTTTTGCATCGACAATTTTCTCTTCAATACAACTACGGGGATACATTCGATTCTGCTCCCCAGTCACATCGTCGGACTACAACGTTGTCAGCGAATCGGCTTCCAAACACATTCGAAGAATTTTGTCCATCACAATTTATTACCACATCGTCGGAGAATACGAATAATTCTATTCCACAAATCCGATTTGAGAGGGCGGCTACTCCTGTTGCGAGACAGGAACCAGTGGAGGACCTAAAACCACCACCGGTACAATTCGGCATTCCAGAGGACATACAGGGAGAAGAGCAAAATCAAACCTATCTACAACTTCCTGAAAGCAGCGACCACTTATACACCAATTCAGGTCCTTCTTCACTTCCTTTTTCTAATAGTGCTGTGCAGTCGGCTCAGTTAGCCATGTTTATGGAATTGCAACAGCGCGTAGCAACCCTTGAGGCCGAAAACCGTATCCTCTCGATGTGCCTTCTGCAGTCGACGAAAGCGCCTGGCAGTAATCAGGATGCGGGTGAAAAGTTATGATGTAATTTAAATAATAAGATTGCGTGAAAATCACCTATTTTCACACCTCTTAGAGTTTCCTGGACGTTAAAATTGTCATTAATTAATACAATAACTTAAACATACCCCTCGGTATTCCTAAGCGGCGGTCCAAAATTGCCAGTATTAGTTACATTGGTTACTACTGCACCAGCAAAGTATCCTAGCGTTACAATATAAACACATAAAAGGGCGATCGGCCTCACAAAGAAAGTAGGAATATTTCCGTAGCTGGGTGCCCTTTTATCGACACCCCCTCAAACAAACTGTTTAATTCATGATTAATGGACTTAATTGCCGTATAGAAAGATACAAATGATTTACCTCTAAGTCTGGTATTCTTTTAAATTAGCAAATAAACGTCCCTCGACAGCCATTAAGCAACCTCATTCCCACCATCAATTCAAGCAGAACCTGTCAAATATCTGTGGGTTTTTTGGACTCACGAAACGTAAGACTTTAGTCGAACGCTTTGAAGCTCTTATCCTGTAACAGTTTAAATTCTACTACGCCTTGTATATCACAGGCTTCATGGTCTGTGACATGCTGACCGAAGTCAATTTGGCACACTCTAACTGAAGCAAGATGGAGTTCACCAGCACTCCATGCAAGTCCATTTTAAGCTCATAAAATTGTTTAATCGTTAATAATTGTCACAAACATACCTCTGTGCTCAATCAATAAAAGACTCCCTTCTGTTAACATGTTATCATTTTAACCCCGAATACTTACATTGTTTAAGGTAAAATTGGGGATACTGGATTTAGAGGTCTGAGTAATCGAATGCACATGCCCGTTTTGGGGGGAACTGTTGTAATACGTTTTTATTCTAACCACCTTAGCATTAGGCTAGATGGACCACCTTCATAGAATAATTTCGAAACACATTGTCTACATTACCATCAACATGTGAGCCACTTTCAACATGTGCATTGACCTAAGCGAACCTTCCACAGAGTTCCCTGGGTGCTTTGACTGGAAGGATTCCTCTAACAGCGTCTAACGACTAATTTGCCTGTGAGGCTTGCGCTCATACCTTTAAAAGTTGAAAACAGTCTTGAATGTGTCTATAATTACTAATCTTTTCCAGATGGCGTGCAATTGTTTCCCATACAAGTCAATTACCACCCTTATTTACACAAGGCTTTGCAGAATACTAAAATCTAATTTTTAAATTTTGAATAGTACCTTCTATGCAATTCTAACTTCTTCTTTACCCAGGTCTTGGCATTTCTGTGTAATTCTAGAAACGGTGTACAACTGATCAAGGAGAAGGGAAAACAAACGTCTTTTGTTACTGGTATATAAGCACTGTTTATTTTTAGCCACACGGTAACCGTTACGATTAAAAAAAAACTAAGCTGTAGAATTCAAGCACTCCCCCTTCGATGCCTTGAAAGAAGGTTTCACCCAATGCGAAGTTGTAAATAAACTTTTTCAAACTAAATGGACATTTGAAAAAAAATTTTCGTAAATTTTTCTATTTGTCAAACTATTCGTTTCATGTGAGAGATTGGGCATGGTATTTCAAATGTGATCACTAAATTACATACGGATTTATGTGTTTCAGCTACTTACATACTTAAATATAGTTGGAATGACGAGATAGCCTAGATTCAGCATTGGAACCTGTGTTTAAAATGATTTCCAGTGCAGATTGATTGTTTTGAGAATTGTGTTTAATAATGTATTTTACAGTGAATCATGTTGCTTAATGTTTATTACCGTTGTCAACTCATTTACGTTTACTTATTCTCTTTACTTCCTGCGCCATTATGATTTATGCTAACACACCTGATCATGCACCTATGTGCACGTACGCCCGCCCCTTGCAGTCACGCCACATATCTCCTTACTTAGCAACTTGTCCACTTACTTATTCACACATCAATTATGTCCATTTCGGAGTGCCAACCCAAAAGTTAGACGAGTAGTGTGTGATTGTATCACCTCATGCCCAGATATTCCGATCGTCATCGAGCGCCCATCGAGCAATTTTCCAAGTTAGACAATTGCAAATACACACTAATTTTCCAGTTGCAAATCTAATGAATAAGGCAAAACAGCATAATCGTCAGCTTATTGAGTCGAAATGAAATTCAAGGTAGACAAATACAATGCTTTACAAATGGCAGTTTCTGAAGTCATGAAAAGGCCTATTAATGAGCATAAAAGTCCGCATGTTGCAAAACGTAAACGCCACCATCCATTTTGAAAAAAATCCAGGAAAATACATAGGGGAAATGCTAATTTAGCGATCAAGTTCTATAGCATGTGATTAGAGACGCCATCTTTTTGTAGCTATGAAAATTACATCACGTTGCGCAACTATATTTAACTGCACTATCGGATCACTTGAGTTACTATTTTTAGACAAATGTGAAATGCGTCCTGCTCACTTGTTAAATAGCTAAGCATCGTGTTTATTCACTGATGCGTTGATGAACATTTTCACAGGTTACTCAAATTACATAATACATTTCTATTACATAAAGACAGTTCTAATTCCTAGTAATGTAAGTTATTTCATTGAGTTAAGTAACTTTTGTTTCCTACAAAATGATTAGTCGTTGCATAATGCCAATTCAGAATTTTTTTATGTTCGAGGATTAGTTTGGACGTAACCAGGTATATTCCCCATTATTTTGCATTTAGCATAACAAAACATGCGATTTTACAGGGAAGTGACAAGTACCAGTCTATATTCAGAGCAATGTACCGTAGGTTGTTAACCTATCATTGGAGTATCTAGTGGGTGACATTTTATAATCGAAGTTCAAACACATATGCCGAGTTTGGGGCAAGTGAGTGGTATAGAGCATTAAAGACGTCGGTGACAAAGGTTTTCCGAGCTCGTAAAATGCCTTTGGTACCAAAAACAAGATTAGTTTTAAGCATATTATTCCCGTATCGCTAGAAGGATATGCAATCTATTTGAATCGATACGATATCGATCAATTAAAACAATGTGAATTTGTGGGAAACATCGTGTGGAAAGAGACTTTTGTGTGTGCATGTATTAAGCATTTGCGAACAGAAATAAGGGTGAGTGAGAGATAATGATCATCGCGACAAGCTCATACAAGTTTTTGTACGTGTTTACTGGTAGTTTACCCTGAATCATGAATTAGTAATCAATGGTCACCATACTAAGTGCCGCAATATTTTAACTTGTCCTTAATGCATCGATTTACGCTAGTTACCTCCGTAATTATCTGTACGAATCAAGGTACTACACCCTCGATAATAAAATAAATAATGAAAAGTTATTACTACTATAAAGATAAACATTGGTATATGGCTATCAGTTTAAGTAATGTCGCTAGGCTCTGATGGATTCCAGGGCTTTGGAATAATGAAAGATCCCATTACACAGGTTAGCCGAACCCACTGGACTACTCTCGTAGTGTTCACGAAAACATTTGTAAAGTTGGTTGATTGCGATGATGCAATAAATTGTTCATTTCGTTGCTCAACCCAAGTTGAGGCTAGTGTATCTTGGCTACACAAACTAAGTGTATTGCCCCTTCTGTAGTACTTGAACTTGAAAAAGTGGTTTCGTATTAAAGAAGTGACATACAATTATTTATTTTTAATTTCTGGTAAAATATTATAATCTCATAACAACCTAGAACGCTAGTTTCGCAACATATAAAGATGACGGTCTTGATTTTAAAAGCCATCTCCCTAAATTTCCAGCAAAATTGAATTTCCTTAAGATTTTTATCATTTTAATATCTTGAGTTGTGTAAAGTACACAATATTAAGGGTCAAATGATTTGAAGCAGATGTATGACTCCCAATTTTAATCAAATAAAAAATATTGACTAAAACTTTGAGGCAGGATCCTATGTCCGTATGGTTAAAATACGAATTCAGTAAACTGGAAAACCAAACACTAGACCGCTCTCTCAAGATACGCGTGACTTTAGTCCAATTTCCATTGGATCATGGGTATATAGAGATGGGAATTTAAGCCCTGGTGATCACACACAAGCGAGGTTTTCTAGTGTTGATACGCCGAGTTGTCTCGCTATTCTAGTATCATTCCTTCTCCGTTTAAGTAAGATAGTAGTCTCAAAGTTCTTTTTTTACTAAAAAAGATTTGAAATAAGTTTCTGTTATCGAATAAATTATTTCTCTTAAAGCCATGTCTCGGGCCAAAAGGTCGCATAATTAACGAAAGTAGAGCTCACAGTCCACGCTATTCAAGACCTTTTAGGCATATCCTCGAATTTTGCTGACGCTAATTAGTTTTGGTTGATTTAACAATCACTTGCTTCTTTCACGCTATTTTAAGGTAATACGTACAAATGACTACTTATTGTCCTACATGCAACGTGGAGTATTCTGTTTTGGAGAGAAAAACTCACCTTCGATCAGATTGGCACGTCTATAATCTGAAGCGTGTTGTTGCAAGTCTACCTCCACTATCGGCAGCCGAGTTTTCAAAAAAACAAGCACTTTTTGCATCAACCGCTAGTGGTGTTGATCTACCGCAAGTCAGTAAGGTATGTTCTCACATTTATTATATAAAGAAGGGCTAATCAGTGTGGACTTAAAGCCTAATGTTGTTGTGGATTTTAAAATGCAGGATGTAGCACTTCAGTGATGCTAAATTAAAGTCGAAAAACTTACGGTTTACCTCGAATTTGCGCAGTTAAAATATATTTTTTAAATACAATGTCCTCTGAAAATTGTTACTATGTGTAATGCGGTATTTGCCTAACATGTATAATTTATTCTCAATTTATTTAGAAGCTTTATTGTCGGTTCTGCAAAAAATCTTTTAACTCAATCAAGTCACACGAGAACCATCTTTCATCAAAGCAACATAAAGTCAATGCAGAAAACTTCGCAGGGTGAGTCTGTTTTATTCTTAATAATGCATGACGTGATATGCTTTCAGTTTGTGAGCATCCTAGAATTGGCCAATCTCTTTTTTACTGCTTGTTAGAAAGTTCGCCTTTGAGGCTCAGTTAAAAGCTGTGAGATCGGAACTTCCTCCTGAAAGGACTGCAGATAGTAAGACTTCAGATACAGACCATGAAGAATCCGACTCCGATTCCTCTTTCCGGCAGCCCCTACCAATTGGTGCCTGCCTTTTCTGCGACCGTTCCTTTGCAGGTTGTGCGGAAGCTGTTGATCGCGTCCTTCGCCACATGTCAGATGCCCACGGCTTCACTCTGCCTCATGCTGACAAGTTAATTAATCCGGGTGGCCTTCTTGCTGACCTGGGACGCTTAGTTGGCGTGGAATTCGCTTGTATAGGCTGTGGCCGACAGTTTTCTGGACGAACTTATGGTGACATGTCGTTGCAGCCATCGGAGCTCAGGCGGCAAAATTTAGCCGCGGTGAGAGCGCACATGAGAGACGCCAACCACACCTTTCTCTATACGGGAACAAATGATCCCGTGCAAGTAATGCTAGCGATTGCGGAGACCGATTCGGAGGGGTCGAGAAGAGCGGAATCATTGCCTCCAGTCGCTCGAGTTGGTGGTGAATTTTACAGCCAGTTTTACGTGCCCGAGAGGGAGAACAAGACGCTTGTTTTGGTGAGATTTTATATATTGTATCTATTTTTCTAGCTCCTATAATTGTCAAACCCAATCATAAGTCTCTCCTTCAAATGTTTTTCCCCAGCCAGATGATCCTGATGACATGGCGTATGAGGTCCGCCTGCCAGCAGGAGGGGTTCTCGGCCATCGGAAACACTATCTTACGGTCTACCGCCAAAATCTTGCTTCTGGCCTAATCGAAGAAGCAAAGAGGCGCCAGCAATTGCAAATGGCAACTCTCACTCACGGTGGCACGTTGAACATTGCTTCTCGACGTGGAACTGGATTGGCCATCGCTTCCTCTTCCACCGCTGATCCTAACGGTGGGCGGATCTCCCGAGTTGATGCTCATCGACAGGCTGCAACTAAGTCCATTCTCGACAAATATGACCTCGATCTGGGGACTCGGGGCAACTATGTTCTGCGTGGTCATCTGCGACGGCAATACTAAACAGATTTTGAATTTTTCGACCGATTTAACTGCCAAGTAATGATGATTTTTTGAAACATTTGTGGCGCTTCACTAACCATCTTTTTTCTTTGTCGTGGTCCTCATGGATTGTGTTTGCGAACTTTAGAAATCAGAAGATTTCGGAGGCCCGTCGTATGCTTCTTCCTATTCAAGTCATAGCAGTCGTGGCCATGGTTTGCATCCAGTACTGTTGTGTCTGCCAGCCACTAAAACGTTGTCTCTGCGTGTTGGCTAAGTATGTTCCATTTACATAACCAGTCGAAGTTAGGTACCTACTATAGCCAGCGGGATAATGAGTATGGGAGCTTGCTCCACAGCCACTTTTATTGTCTCCTGAAATTTAACCACTAGCAAAGTTACCAGGTCCATATTGTATTTCGGCCTATTGCCGTTTTCGTCCATGGAAAAACCCGAGGCATAATTCGCTCCACGAAATAACACATCTCAAGGGGATCAAGCAAAGTGTATTTGCAATTTTTTTTTAAAAAAAAGTTATTGGGTTCAAGAATGTCAACAGAATGAAACGGATGTTTGGCTTTTCTGTTTGGAGATAAAATTATACATACATAAGTATATGTATGAAGCGAAAAACTGGCAATCATTCTAATCGGGTGGGGGCTTAATCCCTGACGCTGACAGCAGTTGAGTTCCACCATTCGGAAACGTTAGGCACAATGGAGAGGTTACCTTCTCTGCTGATGGCTGATTTCCATTGCAGTTTGACAAAAGCGGTAACACTAAGCCGGATTCTGATACGAGCTCAGAGAATGTCACCGGAAGATGGAGACGAGTCCCGTTGGGCATCTGAATAGAGACTGTTTGAGGTAGCGTGTCGGTCTGCGTGACGCCTTCACTTCCATCCGACGGAGCAGCAGATTCGGTAGATTCAATGACACTGGGTTGGGTAGGTGTTGGGGGTGGAGGAGGGGAAGGCGGTGGTTTGCGTGAACCAAGACACGATTGAATAAGCTCTCGCCCCTGGTCCGAGTCAATAATTGCCTTCAAACGATTCGTTGTGAAGGTGTACACATGATTGGTCTCGGAAGCAACTAAAAGCAGAACTTCAGCGCCGGTGAGCTCTGCAAGCTCAAAGGCTTTCTTCATGAGACCAGTTTTCCGTTTGGAGAAGGTTGAACAACGGCGCACACGGTCTTGCATAAAAGATATAGGAATCTTCTGTTTTCCACGGGTTAATTTCCGGCGCTTTGATGAAAACAAAGAAGCACTATTAGAGACAGCGGCCTGAGAAGACGATGACGAAGATGGAGACGTGTGGGCAGCGGAGGAGTCCAACTCTTCATCGTCAGTAAAGATATCTTGGCCTGGATTCTCGGTGAAGAATTTAATGTCTGTAATTTTGCTCATCTACAATGGCAAAAAGCGGTACCAAAATGAGATCGTATGAACACTATGCAAATCCGTCTGCACAAGTTACAAATAGGTGAATTAACTGACTGTTCCAAAACTGGTTTTGACAACAATAACACGGTTATTAACACTGGAACCACAAACTACGGTTTAGTGTACGGAATTTCCAAAGAGAATGACAACAGCAAATTAAGGTCACCACGGGGCAGTTACTCAAAAGCCCCTTAAATATTTCAAACTATACACAGCTAACACACATATGAACTGTTAGCCATAACTAAATTATCGTGCCGGCAAAAAAAGAACAAACTAGGCCGTTGTCATGAACTGAAAGATACAGATTTAGTCAAACAGGGTAGCAGTTAATGCCAACACGTTATATAATTACTCAGCATAACACACACAGGATTTAGGTCAAAAAATCCATCGCATCAAAAAATGTCGTGACACTAAGTTCTTAGATACATAAATTAATACTTACTTGGCCTGGATGCTTAGAAATCCACGAAAAAAACATTAAAAATCAGCAAGACTAAGCACCAGCTTTAATATACGAAAAAATCAAGCATCATAGAATTAAAACTATGTACGCGCGAATTTGAACGTGAATTTTCAGGAGCAAAATGTGTGCAAAGAGGCCCTCTTTGTTTGCTTAACAAGCCCTGCGATGATACCAGACAGAGGTAAACAAGTTTGAAGACCTCCTTAAGGAGCCACAAATTCAAAGAGCTATTCTGACAGTTCTTTAGGTGCTTTAGTTGCAGCAACTAAATACTAATAAACGGAGTCACTTCTCCAAAAATCTTCTCTCACGATTATTGACAAAAGATGCTTGTTTACAAACCGAAATCGGGGATATATGGCTCCAATGTCAATGCAATTTCCAAAATATAACACTTAAATGATTAAGGTATGGCTATGGTTGAAATGAAAGACAGACTACTAGTAAGCAACCAAGTGGGACTACCATGTGAAGAACTCGTTTTGAAGATACAACATAATCAAATAAGTGTGCCAATTCTTTGCAATACGGGGACCTAGGGGATTGCCGCTGGCTTAAAAAATTATTCTATGGGTTGTCTTGGGCGGCCTCAACTGCAAATTACATAATTGGCACACCGCGACTGCCGATATACAATAGTTTGGTTTGAAATACATAGGGAACTACTCCGTGATTGTTTGCATAAGGTCAATAGCTAAAATTTTCAGCCAACTGAACCACAAAGAGGTTTCTTCCTCGTATAAGACGAGAGTTTCAATCGTTAAAGAGACCAGGAAAACCTTAATCAATTGAATTTTAGTTTCATGAATTAAGGCAAAAAAGGACACAATCCGGAAGGTCCCCAATTTATTTAACCACAGAACACTAAAACATCTAAAATTTTCAATTCACTAACTTTTCGAAAACTTTTTAACAAAAATTAAACAAATTAATGATCCCAAACATATCTCCATCTCCAACTAGATCGAGATTTTGCACACGCTAACCGGTATTTAAGTCTGGAAGACAAATGTAGGAGCAATACGCTATCTCAAGTGTAAGATTTTTAATGCAGCTCTGTACGTGCTCAGCTTTTATAGTATAGATAAAAAAATAGTCTTTGGAAAATTATCCTGAAAATCTCATTTCACATACCAGTAAAAAAGCGCGGGTCTCAATTGAATGAAACTAAACAGTGGTTTGTACTTAAGTGCCACACATTCATGAAAATTATGTTTTACTTAAAAACCTAATTAATGTAAAAAAACTATATGTCTAATTATTAGTAAGATATTGCTGATCTAACATAGGTTAAATCAAAATTGTCACTAAAGTTTCGTAAATCCATCCTTACTTACACCCATTTTTACAGATTTGCCAGAGAGCCACTAAACTATATCAGTTAGACAAGCCTAAACGTAACGCTAAACTTTCATTTTTGAATGTTCAAGGTCCCACTTCGAAGTGCTTGCATAAGTAAACCCCATTGATTCTACATTTTAACGATAAATTAACACAGCGTACACTACCCATGGATCAAAAAGTCAAAATAAATATTGCTAACCAAGGTTTACTAGTGACATTTAAGTTCCTATCACCAAAATTAATGCATTTCTATCTGCTTTTTGGAGGTTGGATGGGGCCGCAGCGACACCAACCATTTAATTTTGTGATGTGCAATCTTGTACAATTTTGGGCCACCAAGGAAATTAATTGGAACGTATCTCTAGCCTGACACTATGTTCCCCTGCGTTTTGGAGGCAATTATACAGGATCAATCTAATTTAATTATAATTAGATTTGAAACAACTGGCAATTGCATTTATTTAACGTCAACTAATCGTTATTCACGCCATCTTCTTTGCGGTAGAAATGAAATGTCCACTCAGCTATTCGAAGAAAATAAATGTTAAGTAATGAAATAAGCTAGACTAATAATGCCAAGCAATCCAATTGTTAAAGTAGTTTGCCTTTACTAGGTAAACCAAGTCAATTGAAAACGCAATTAGCAAAAATGCACATCACAGAGTGACTTCTGAAAGCGGTTTGCAATTGAACGCTGACGTTCTTCCAAACATAACAACACAGCGAATTCTCAAAATCTAATATAGACGTTCTCTAATAAGTGATGATAAATGTGGTCAGTTGCTGGTGTTCCGAGTTTTCAGTATTATCTTTGTGCTACAGCGTTAGCAATGGTCATCCATTTAAAAGCACCATTTGCAATATCGCAACAGTGGGTGCCTATGGGTCCAAAAAAGTGGTACTTACTCACTTCCAGGTTTAGAGTTATTATACGTTATACTGTAAATAACAGCAGCTTACACAATAAGAGACAGATATTTTGAAATCAAAGACAGCAAAGACAATCTGGAACTTCATACCTTTTAGGGGCAGATTAGAACGGTGTTCCAACGAAACGATTATAGTACAACAGTGGAAAAATAAAGACTACCATGTAGGCGTTGCACACATTATAATCCACCCTAAATGAAACAAACAGATAAGCTTGAAAATATAGGTACTTATTTTACCTCCTGGATGGGAAAATCTTCTGCAAGAGGTTCCTTTTGTGTCCAAAACTACAACGACCTGTGCTGGCTTTAACAGTGATGAGAATCAATGTAGGACCCTATTATTATTGCCAATTTTTTGCATACATGACTGACAGGTCTTTGATGTAAACAACGTTATTTATATAGTATTTTGGAAGGAGATGGTGAATGGATCACGGAAACAAATAAATCGACAACATAACCTGCGTACCGGTTTGCATGACGGTTGGTTCAGATGCCTGTTACTCATACATTTCACCTGATGATCCATTTCATATTTATTAGACCCCGTAAAACACAGCATGTTCCATGCCCATGTGTGACTGTTGTCTTCCATCTATGTGCAATCGACCCAAATATCTCTTTAAAACATGCCCTTCTTAGCCGAGATTAAAAATTTAGAAGTGGCTGAATGGCATTAGGATATTGACTGTATAAAAAGAAGTCAATGTGCAAATATTTTCAACAGAAACAATTTATTTGTGATCAGTTAGAGGTCAATCTCTTTTGACCTTCGGTTTCACAATGCAAAAATATCTGATGCGCCAAAACTTGACGGAAAGGCTATCAGCACTAAGGTTTCGTTAGTTTCTCCTGCCGACAACCGTTTCAATTGGCACACCTTGGATTCCTGTTGGCCATGACCGATGTAATCTGCCATAGTTGATTCACCATCAAGATGCCGATTACATACAGTTTTAATTCTTGCAAAAACAGGTATGAATTTATGCTTCCAAACGTTAAATAATAACCAAACATTTTAAAGTTATCCGGGATCCTAATTTGCCACAGATAATAATGAAGACTACATAACGCCACTACATTACGTTGATTAGGAGAATTTTGGCATTTTGAAGTGGTCTTATAAACAGGAACGATTTTGAAATCAACAAAAAAATAGGGAGTGATCTGTGAATATTATTTTGCATGCAGGTATGGTTCCGTGAGAACATTAATTCATGGTACGTTCCCCTTTGGATTTGGCACAGAATTGTCTCATTCGCGTTTGTAAAAAACGCCGTCGTGATATTTTCCGTAAGTTTATTCGAAAAAAATAATGCTTTGTTAAATACAAATTTATTTCAGCCACAAAAAAATAAAATTAGCATTGAGCTCTTAAAGCGTACATAGTCGCTGAGACGGGAAGTGGAAGCAGTCAAAATCTACTTAGTGTGGGACTTGGAGAAGTTGGAAAAGGTATCAAATCAACCACCTTGCACAACGCCAGAAGGCACGCTTGGCGTGTTTGCGTGTGTGTGTGTGTATATATATATATATAATCACTAACTCAATCCGTTTTATTTCGTCTCCACAGTGTAGATGAGGATGGCTCGTCTAGCTACTCTTTGTTTTCCCCTAGAATGAAAGGACATTGTTCTAGCTAGTGCACTGGTATCGATCTCTTAATCTACTACCGTTTTGAGAGTGAGGGGTGAAGATTGATTTTAATGCTGACTATCGGACATCCATTGGGAGGTTTGTCGTATCAAGAGGAAGATTCATGACATCTAAAATAAGATAAAAATAACTGGTTCAGGGATCTGTTGCAATAAAGACAGCACTGTCATTGTGTATATGTTTATCCATGTCACCACGTTAAATTGTTAATCACATGTTAAGACGATGCAAAAAACCTTCTCCTATAGTCCCACGCTTAGAACAATGTTAGGAACTTGAAAAATTATGAATTTTATCCCCCTTTTAACCCTTAACGTAGTAAGTTGGGTGTTTGTCCTATTTTCTAGGTTGTGGTTGTTGTAATACAACAAAAACGTAAACCTTACTCGACACAAGTGCATCCCAAAACTCATCGGTGTCAGAAGGCAAATCGGAGTCGAGTTCCATGTCATTAAAGAGAGACGGTTCGCGTTGGAGCTGCTGAGACTGGATTTGTAACTGCTGACTAATTTTTGATGCCAAATTGGAGGAGTAAGTGGTCGAACAGGAATAAGAGGAGGCGAAACTCTCGGGCAGCGAGGGGGGAGAGGAGTCGGTGGAGGACAGGGAGCCTGTTAGAGGAGTCAGAGAGTGTTTGTCGTGGTGACAATCACTGGCCTTTGTGCTAATGCTTATAGAAGAGAGAATATCATCGAAACTGAGATTGGTCAATAGGGAGTCCGACTTGGCATCGTCATTTTCCTCGAGCATGGCAAGTGTTTCGGGACCCAGTTCCTGCAACATGTCTGGCAGATTCAGAGATATGTCAGAAGGCGAATCTGGCAATTTATCTAGACGACAAAGATGAAGCAAGATTATTCCGCTTAGCCTGTTATTCGTAATCAGAAAGTAAATCAAACAACATAGAAGAGTGTTTATTTAGTAAAAAAATGTGACCTGACTGATGTATGAGCCGAAATTTGTTTAGTAAATATGCAAACCATAAAAATAGGGCACCATTGAAACGACTGTAAAACATGTCGCTATGGCCTTAAGGTTACAACATTTTAAATATTAACTCTTCTTGACATAATCTGAAACATCTGATTTAGATTAAGTCAGAGGGCAATGTGAATAGGAAAGAGGTTTGCAAGCGAAATTGAATTTTAGTTGGACAATAAGTGTATGAGTTTGGATGGTGGACACTATAACTTTGAAGGTCCTGCTGAGTAGTCCCTATTTGAAGACGATTAAACGTGAGTTCAAATAGGTGCTGCATTTGGCCACCAATTACGGACTTACTTATTATTTACTGTAAACGGTGCCTAGATTTCGTCAATGCACAAATGCAAAATCATGAGAAGCCACTAAAAACGGGCGAAAATACCGATGGTTTTGAGGACTGATGCGTCGTTTAATTTACTTGATCAACCATTTAGCATGACATCCATTGTGTTATATGGAAACAAATAGGACAGCTTAACAAAGTTAAGGAATTTTTCAAAAAAAAGTTTCACTATTTTGTTTCTACACTTTAGAAGAAGGGTCTTTGATGGTAATATTGCTTGAAAGTAATTTGAACCTACGCGTCTGGAAGTGAACTTAAAATCTCGTACACAAACCTTCCACAACGCAAATTTTTTCCACTCATTTTGCTTTACTCCTAGGCAGACTACGACAGGTATTGACGGTAATGTTTCTAAGGGAGGCATATAAAATATGATGCAGGCACTCTTGTGTAAGCTCAAGATGAATGTAGTCAGAGCTATATTTACCGATTTGCTGTGATTCCACAGGGCTTCTTGCGGGACTGGGGCAACGTTGCATAGGAGGCAAATCAGACACCTCGTTTAAGTCGCCTGCCAAAAAGACATTAAGAGACCGAGTTTGGACAAGCGGTGCAGGTGACTTGGCCAGGGTCGGCTGAGGCGCGCTTAGACTCCGAGTGTAGACCAGCCATGGCGTCGGAACAAGTGGCTGGGGTGTTAGGGCCGTGGTGGTCTATAATTTGTATGGGGCGTGGTTTTACATGCATACAATAAAAGTCACTTAGTTAAAACTCGCAGTGGCCGTGTCTACTGTAGCTCCGAGCCAGGCTACTGTAGTATATTATGCTTCTGAAACAGTAATTTGCTGTGGCGCAGACATATGCTACGATAATTTTCTTTTTAATGACTTCTGGTAATTTGTGTTTAAACAAACCAAAGAATCAACTGAGCTTTGAAGCTAATTTGACAGCGAGATCAGGCTTTACAGAACATTGAACGGTAGTATTTGAAACACACCAGTCCAGGATTGTGTTGCACTGTTTTTGACAAAACATTGTACAAAGTTCACAGTCTTTGCGGCATGGCGTAACAGCAAATTAACCAGTCAGCAATCAGCCAGCTGGAGGGCTATGACAAAAGTCTTGTGTGGGGGACTACTGAGACTGTGGAGTATCAATAAAACCAAAACTACTTCACATTTAATTTTCTGTAGCTTCATAAATTTTTTCACAGTTTGCCTTCTTAAATCTATTTCAGACCTCTAACAGATTTTTTCAGCCTTGATTTAAAGAACCAATAATTTATGCAACCCCATAAATTCGGGAACTAATTGTAGCAATGTCATAATATTTAAGCATTATTTTATTCAAAGGAAATTCAAAACCATTGAAATTACTTTTAACAAGGTAAATTAGAATAAACTATTTGCCTGAAACTGCTGCGAAACTTAGGTATTTTAAGGAAATTTAATGTCTACTCATTCCACTGTACCGCTTGGCCTTCTATAATTAATGGAGCAGTTTCTCTGTTAAACCCGAGCTTTAAAAGTACCTCGTAGACAACAGAAGTGTCCCTTGATGAAGCAGCTGCCAGGGGGGTTAGGTAAGGTCCAGTATTGACAGTAAGATTAGCTGACATTGAGGTGAGAGTTGTCACCTGTTTGTTCTGTTGCTGTGGTTTCATTTCTTGATGATGCGGCTGGAAATAAGGTTGTATTTTCAGCACTCTGATTGGTCGCTTAACTGGCAGATTGGCAGTGGTTGGGTGACTAGCTAGCAAGCGTTGGCGCGAATTCCCGATAAGATGTCGAGGTTCCTCTCTGGCGAATTGTGAGAGGCTTGTGAAATTTGAGTGAGGTTTCGTTTGAAGGTAAGCTTCGACACCGTGGGATTGAACATCTCTGTATACCATTGAAAACAACATGTGAACATGACTGCTTTGGATAATTTTATTACGCAAATATATACATGCGGTAGATGCGCACATAAGGACACCTTATTACATTATAAGGGGGGCCTCATTTGTCTACAACTCAAATTATAAGAATGTAATAATACGGAAATATAGGAAACATTAGATTTCAGGACAAGGCTGCGTTAGTTGGGATATTTTAGAAATCGATTTGTTTAATTTAAGACAACAAATCAGTTGTAAGTTTATACCTAAATTCGGGGGATGAAATTCAGAGCATAGCAAGTCCACAAACCACCCATCACCATTCGGGGTATCTTTTGAACCTCGTTCATTTGCATAAAGTGTTAATTCAATGTCAAGATTTCAATGAAAAATTGTACAATAATAGTAAATCCTAGATAGATTATGTTTGGATTGCAATGGATAGGTTTAAGAAAGCACAACGCAAAAAATTAAATCTTTTTGTTTAACATGCTTGAACTTAACAGCGGCGCTTTGTTTCCTGGCATGGCTGGTGACTTAAACAAAAATGGTCATCTTTAAATTTTGCTGAGACTTCAAGTCGTCGTATGCGACACTCGCGCGGCATCAACACACGAACGTTACTCAGTGCCCTGCGTTAGAATAAAAAAATCAACATCCCATTTTGCATCCTTTCGTAGTTCGTACAAAACAGTATGCAGAGTCAGGTTGTTAAATATAGGGGTAAGTAAAAAAAACTAGATCGCTTACCCAATGGGCTGGTGCAGGCACCTGATGGTCGCACCAAACGCATTTGACGTAGAGAAGAGTGACCTAACCCAAACGAACTTCGACTGGCTATATGAGACTGTAGTACCAGTAGATGAGGACACTGGAAGTCTTAAACGATAGGCTGACGTCCATACAGGGGATTTTCGTTGTAAACCTAATTGGGGAGAAAAGCGAAGCTTTGAAAATGTCCAATTCTCACTCAAGTGGTCGAACCAGTCGCTACTTACACTCAGTAAGTAGACTGCTCACTTTTGGCAGATCCTGGATTGCAATGAAGTCAAGGTAGGAATGGCCAATCATTGATGCGAAATTGCAGGTCTTGCTTGCATCCCTATAACAATTACCCAGCAGTGAGGTTAAAATTAAAGATTGAGTGTAAAATTATACTATTCAAACGCAATTAACAACAAAGAATTGGTGTTTTTTTTATTTATCTAATGGCATTTGCTCTAGGTGCTGACATTTGCGACTGGTTCTAGATAGCCAAATACCAATTTCTTACTTACCATCCTAAACACAACTAGGCATTTAAATATCAGTTCATCAACGGTCATGTGTTTTAACAAAAACTAAACATGAACGCTAGGTAACTCACGTGTAATTAAAAATCAAAGTTCACCACCTTTGATTACACAAAACAAACAAAAAATCCGTGCATCGAGTTCAGTTGCCAAAGATATCGAGTTTAATCAGACCCATTCGTATTTGGAATAACTTTGGAAAATAACATTTTGGATATTTATAGCGAAACAGGGGACGTTTATTATTCGCGCCAACCATCAAGTGTACTTGCCCCTCTTAGGACTGATCACCAGCCAGGAATGAACAATATTACGAAGTATTCACCAAACCACGCGCTGTTTTAACTAACAAACGATTTACAAAACGTACATAAGGAGATCTTATGAGGTACATAACTCCTTATGCTCATGGTTTTCAGCAATAAATGAAGTTAAGCACCATAAATCTCATAGAATTTAACAATTTGGTGTATGTGGCTTCCGACATGGTGCTGGCTTAATCTGAAATTTCTCATCATAAGTTCGAATTAATGTTGTCGCACTCAATGACTAGTTCGAAGAAACACGGGCAGAGTTGTTTATTGACTTAAAACCCGTCTAACACGCACCCATTCTCGACCCACTTCACACTCAAGACACGATCGAGGATGGTGACAAAGAAATCTCGTTGGCAGCCTGATCGACCACCGTTGGTCGGTTGTGGCGGACTCTGCAGCAATAGACGTCGTTGCCTATTAAGGAAATACCGTTCCTTGTTCCTGTGAAACGACGCCGACGGAAGGACTGGCGATATTTTAGCTGAGCATTCAACATTTTCCCTACCAATGGCGATATTTGGAGTGGGTTGCAGCAGGTAGAGTAGAAGATGGCTAACAGAAGCGGTCGAATTTGCATCCGAAGGGGCATCTAACAAGCATGAAGAGGTAGGTGGGAGCCTCGGCTCTCCGGGTGATGAAATTGGTACTTTCAGAATCGCAAAACACGAGCAAATCTGAAATGAAGTGTTTTTTATCAAATCGAATTTTAAGGTATGAAACAGTAAGACGACCGGTCGTCTGAAAATAAAACTCTCGATGTGGCACAGTAACTCAATAATTAAGCTTCGGATGAGTATGTTACAGACAAAACGTTGTGAAATGGTAATGGTAACGACGATTCAAAGGCCTACAGAACTTTTGTGATTTGTGTAAAACAAATTGTGGTTGGTTAAAAAATTAAAAAAACTTTAAATCCTGGCCAACAATGTTAGATTTCAAGATGTAATAAATGCACAAAACAAAAATTTTCCAAAACGAATATATGGCAGTTTTGTTCGCTTAATCGATAATTACGTAAGGAAGGTAAGCTCGTTCGCGACGTATTATTTGGCTTTTTGCTGAAATGTTGTCAACAAGAGACCGTGAAATGGCTTCCAGTGAAGTGAGGTTCATGTTCTCCGGGGATCTTCAGAAAATACTGTTGGTAAAACAAACAATCCATTTTTAACTGACGGTTCCAGCACAAAAGTTAAACTAATTTCTACTGATCACCGTCCCTACACTGAGAGCAGTAGGTGACCAAGTGATTGTTTGATTTGTCGACTGAAATGCATGTCATGCAGCCCCTTGTTGAACCCACCACACAGACGGCATCGGCCCCATCGACCAAGGGCAAATGTCACTTTCTGTTGCCATGGTTCCTCCGGCCTCGCCCCGCGAATGTTATTACAACCCACCCTTGTGCAGTATTCCCCCATCACTGTCGGCCCTCGAGCGCGTTGAAAGTGTGGAGTTTCAGCCGAGCCTCGTAATCCAGTAGGCGGAAATGCGGAGGGTCTTAGTCACCCCATCGCCATACCGGGTGGGGTAGCCAAGCTGGTTCAAAGTTGTCGCGTGCAGCGCCCTCTTTTGCGATCTCGATCGTGCCTTGTCTCCAGTTGTAGCGGTGTGCAACTGGAGACGTTGAGTAGGCAGTGCGTGGGCCGCTGGGTCGTGGCTCGTCAGTTGGTGTGAAATCACCTCCGTGCAAACACACCGGCTGTCAACGAAATTCGTCAACATCGGGTCTTCACACTTCCAGCAAGACCAACAAATTGTACAAATAGTCTCCAACGATTGCCTCCTCTTGTTGTATTATAACAGTGCAATACCGTGGACATAATGTGCAACTGCAGATCTGCCTGGATAACCTGAAAATTTGCGATGCAAACGCGAATAGTATCGTGTCCAGTCGTATTTAGTTGCAAACCTTTTGTTGAGTAGGTGCTTATCAATAAACGAGAGTTAACCTGGACGATCCATAGACTAGAAACGATTTGTTTTCTACTTTTAGAATAATCAAGGACAAAAATAAGAAACTTACAGTTGCGGAACTTAGAAGATGTATTTTTGAGTCATAATGATCAAATCGGAGACACTATTGCAGAAAGTAACGCTTTCTGCAATAGTGTCGGAGAGCTCTTAATGACAAAGTAGTAACCAAACGAGCAACAGCTGACGTACTAGATGCGAAACTGCTTTGCCGCCTGATGAGACGCCTTGGGGTTGTGAACCGCAACCTCCCCCTCCACTTTTGCTGCTGCGATAAAGATGCGGTGACCACAGGGGTGAGGAGGTCTGGTCGGAAGGGGGAGTGGGGCTGAAGGGGGAACTGGAGGGCGAATGGGAAGGGGAGAGGGGCGTGGCTGGTCGGTTGGTAGACAGAAAGGAACTCTTGGTAGGTGAGCTTGGCTGTTCAAGCAAACGAAGGCACACGGTTTGCCCTGACGCAGTCGGAAGTTTGCCATCATCAGTTAGGCTTTGGAGATTAATTCCAATAAGATTTATCTGAAAAAAATATAGGGACGATGAAAGACTTGACAGCAGGAGTTCATGAAGGAGAATGAGGGTCAATTGATTCATGCAAATAGTGTGTGACTACTTCATTGTTACAGAATTGTTTTATTACAACTTTGAAAAAAAGAAAAAACAGACTATTTAAGTGCATAACATTCATCTTTAACTACGCTTAGCGTCGATATCATCTTTGTGTACTTCAGAAGGCATGTTCCCACTTCTGAATCAACAAACTTTTCAACATTTTTTGTAACGTAAGCAAAGGAAGCACCATAATTAGAAAGCCCTCAATAGTTACACTCAGGCTTAATGACACTCCTAATGGGCGAATGCACAACATATCATTGTGGAGAGAGATTTTCACTCCTGAAATAAATGGCCCTACTTTGTCTGCTAAAATATAGGGTCTGTTTAAAATTACCGACATAAGAAAGTGAAGAGGCGATCGTGTTGGCTGTTCGTGAGGCCGTTGGGTATGACTACATGCAAAGAAGCTTTCAACAGAAAATATACAAGCCAATGAAAGGTAGTTTGGAATATATTTTGCAGGTTAAAGAAGGATTGGTGCAGTTGAACATCCATCAAGTCAACTCCGATTTTTTAAAATTGGGCAGATCACTTGATAACAAGATGGTTTCAATTTAAATGAAAGCGGGACTCTTTAATCAGGGTTTAATCTAAAAGAGAAAATCTTGTAGGAATTCGTGTTGATTCATGTCGAATAACCCAGTCCTCGCAGCTTCCAGCACACGTCCCCCTTTCCACGACCCGCCCGTCAGTCACGTGAGGCCACTGGTTCATTAATCACTCTTCATGTCCCCCCACCACCCCCTTTAGTTATGTGACCTCACAGACACCGGTGTTTATTTTTGTGCATGTCCACTCAACCGTACTTGTACTCGACACAACTTAGTTGAGCTGTCTAGTAAACAGTTGTGCCTTCTCCACTCAAGTCTTCTTTATTTTTAAGGGAACACAGGGCAACGTATTCGGCGTAGATTGTCGCAGTGGCCCCGGCGTGGATCAAGACAACATGCCGAGGCCCTCAACAATATTAGTTTAGGAAAAACGGCCATGCAATTCTTAGAAAAACATGATAACGATTTCCTACTATTAGCGATTAGAAATGTCCCAGACGTCTAGTCATTTGTTATGTATAAACCCTTGACACTAAAAGGCTGGACTAAGTGAAGACCTGGAGAGCAAATGTGAGTTGTCATATTAGCGGCAACCATAGCACCTATTTAAGGGGGCGTTGGACACGAGCTTGGACCCCCTTGTAACGCTAACACGCAGAGGATAAACAAAACAACCATAAGAGAGATGCAAGAGTTTAGAAGAAGCCGCTGTAGGTGCTTCTGTTAAAAAATAACAGAACAAGACCTATAAAGGCGGGCAGTCGAAGGAATCGGGATCACTCTGCATCCGAATCCCCATTGATCAAAGTGTGTGTTTGCGAATCCTGGTTTCGGACAAGTGGGGTGTGAAAACGTGTACCACGTGGACACCAAACCTTCCTACCGAAGGCATGGTTCGTGGCAAAAAAGGAAAACATCTCGGGAAAAAACTAGGTTAACGTAAAAAGCGAAATCCACCCTTATTGCGTCGCAAAAGTTTTTACATCGAGACTAATTTGCCTTAGAGGTTTCTTTCTAGATCAGCTGCATGTAAGTCAATTTAGTTTTACGATTAGTTTTAAATAACAAAATATAGCGGAGTTTCGAATTATTTTATTAAAAAATATACAAATGTCGAGTATTTTAAGCATATTGTGGGTTTGAATGGGAGATCCACTGACCACTTTTGCTATCCAAAATTAAAGTGTTTGATTCGAAGTTATTTCATGCTTATAATTGTGCGTGGCAGACCAATACGATATAAAAAATTAGGAAATAACAGTGCATCTTGTTGCTGGCTTGAATATCTTGAACCACTGTTCAAATGCATGCAATCACATTAGGAGATGCGAAAACTAAATTATTTATTTTAATACTGCAAAGCTAATTAAACCAGTACTCGATTTAGTGGATGCTATGGCAACAAGACAATTGTTTTATAAATTATGCCATCTTGGGCACGACAAATAGACATGGAGGAAGGGCATTCTGCGGCACAACCATCGGTGTGTGCTACTTTGCATCGAATTGAAGTAATTACCCAAGGCCAGTTGAGTGCTTCCGCGAGTGGCGGCGTTGCGTAGACTACAGTGGAGTCAGTTGGATGCACCAGGAGACCGTAAAGCGATTTGCTGAGCAAACTGATAAGCGGCACCTCCTTATTTCCCAAAACTAAAGTAGAAGCAAAAATTAATTACTCCTTCGAGTAAAACTGCCGGGTTCAAACACCTGATTTACTATAATCATTAGTTAAAACCCTGGCTTTCGATGAGATTATTGGTACCGTCTACTTAAATGTTCTACTCAAAACTCGTCGTAATATTTCCGATATAAACTCTGAGTAATCATGGGGCATATATAACTATTTGCAGCGACGCCTGACATAATTGTGAAAAAATAGCGATGATTTACATTCGAACATTATTGTTTTATGACAGTTTGTTAAGCTCGGAAACATGTGCAAATTTTTGATTTAATGGCTAGATTGTTTAAAAAATCAGGCTCTTCTGTTTTGGGTAAAATGTCGAAGTGATTGGTCTTTCTGAATGTCACCTAGATGCGAGTCATAAATTTGCATCTCAAGTAACCAGTCAAATAAAACACATGAAAATTTAAGAAAAAACACACTTTCTCTTTGTTACTTTTCTGTGAATTATATTCATTTTCATATTTATAAGAAGACATAGATTTCACTTCTGGCGTACCTTAAAAAACCAAGATTTCTATGGTTTGAGTAATAAATGTGGACGTGGATGCTGGTTCAGTATGAACATGTGATCCAAAATGTGATTTATTGGCTGTCATTTAAGCACTCTTGCTAGAGGCGCACATAAGTATTTGCACTACAATGTTTAGAATGTGTAATGCTTTTCATCTCAGAATAATTGTGCATTGAATTATTGGACGCGAATTCTGAATAACTAATGCTAGGGTGTTTGAATTGACTGCATACCATGTGCAAGAGAATTGTATAGAAAGAGAGTTTGTCCAGCCATGCGAATAACTCCGGACTTTTCTAAATTGAGGCCGTTGCTATTAGAGCTAACTGACTTGATTTCGGTTGTTGCTTGTTGAGAATTTTCTAGAGATACGGGTAGAGCCCTGAGTAAGCAAGAGAGGATGTCACTCTCCTGATTTCGGCGCAGCTTCGCTGCCAGTCGGGATTTCTCCTTCCTCCGAAGAGCTCGCTGTTCGCGAGGACTGAGACCATCTACACTCGAGGGGTCTGTCGACGTTCCAAGATTTTCTACAAGGAGCGCATTTTATTAAAGTAAACTTTCCAACATGAGAGAACTAAATTTGACGTGGAATCTCTATGATTCATAAATTCCATATTGACCAGTCATAATAAGTGTTAAAAAGATATTTAATGATTAGACAGATCACTGAAATGCCTTTTGGTTTTTAAATACTGTTTGTTTGCCTTAGCATTGTTACTCATTAATGGTTATGCATAGATGACTAATGGTTGAATTTTTACCTGCAATAATTTATCAAAGTTACGGGATTAATGAAAATGAAGTATTATAAGGCGTCTATACCGATGTATTCAACGATGGGTGTTTAAAACTTGCTTTAGGGTATTTCAAACAACATAATAAACTAGTTATTTCCTGCACGCAAATCTGAACAGACAGTTTCCTTAAATTCTGGTCAAAAATTTTACCTACAGAAAACCAAATAACTTAAGCCAATTAGAAAAATTCTTGAACAAGTAAAACTATTGTAGGAAAAAAGGAACTGTTTAAAAAAATCATATTATTTTACCTGCACCATAACCCTACGTGAGAGTGCAACTGATTTATTAAGAGCCCTTATTTAGTTACGAAATCACGTAAAAATTCTTTGCTTGATAAATTACGCTTAATTGTAGGTTTCAGACAATTTCTCGTGACAATTTGGTAACTAATTACTGCAACACATTTCGTTCCAAATGTAGCAATTAAGAGATTCCCGAGACTATAGGGGCGATGAGCTTTCAATTTAGGAAACCTATGGACGTATCACTTTGTACTGTCGGTGGACCAAGACAGTCGTTATAATGAGTCAAGGTTTCTCTTTACTGAGAGAAAAATATTCATGTTCACATTAGAATCTGCCTCATTTGAAGTCGAATTATCTTTTAACGCAGTCTCCTTTTTAAAAATCACAAACCAATAATTTTAAACATCTAGAATTATTGTCACTTGTGCAAAAATACCGAACTAAAGTTTGAAATGCAAAACAGCGGCCTAAGTTTTGCTTTACAAATATCGTTAAGCGGTAAAATCTTACACGATCATTGCTAGCGTTATTTGTGTGCAAAGTTGGATAGTCATTTCAAATTGATATGAATAATAAATGGCTTACCTATGGCATTGTATGAATGCATTTATCTATGCATAAGTTTTCCAAATACTAGAATCATTTTATCTAGCATAATGTAACATGAATAAAAAAATAACGCAACTAATTATATTGTTTGTGTGGACCTATGTGAATAAATTCAATTCTAATATGCATGACTTAATTTTAAAGAACAATTAAAGGTAAAATAAAATGGTAACGACGTAGGACTTCATAAAACGACAAAGCACTTCCGCAATTTTAATGACAAAAATAATTTTACGGTCTTTTGCCACGTTTGGGATGTTTTATAATTTGTCTGATTAAATGCTTGAATTATTCAGTCACGTGAACAGAGACATCCCTATCGTCTAAATCCCCTTTAGCCTGCTTTGGGCAAGCATCCTCTAATGCTATTTTTCAGTCACAAAATTTATCCAGAGTGGAAATTAGCCTTTTACCAACGCGTACAACGAATATAGTACATTAAATGTTAATTCAACATAATCAAGCTTTTTCATGTGCTTCCTAGTGGCATTTATGGAGCCCTTTTTATGAACGAAACACTGACCAGAGAAAAGAACATGAGGAAAACAGGAAATAGGTGAGCTTATGGATGCATGTTTCTGAGGAAAGGTGAATCCTCGCGGCCAGTGCACCACAGAAAGGCCATAAGATCTGTCAGATTATTAAGATTAAACACTCAAAAGAGTGATGTGGCATTCTTTCAGGTATCGTCGAATACCGAAGAGAGCAATGTCTTGGGAATTTTGCTCTAATTGCACCAACGCTTTATCAGAGAGCTACGTTATTCCGTAACATTATTTCAATTTCTTTGCTATAAATTGTGCACATTCAGGTACGGCTAACTTATCAATTACTAAAATTACGACACTTTTTGGCAAAAAAAAAACTGTTAAATGTACATCTTTATCTACCTTGAACTAAAATGACTGGACATTGTTATCGTGAGGTCGCTATAACTAGCCAATAATTGGTAATATGCCGGACTTATTGCAACATTCATTTGATTTAGCTTATTGGAGTCGGAAAGTATGCCACTTCACTGACGTGTTAAATGACAATGTGGAGAACTGAATGTGTGTTCGCCCTTTCGTCAGTGTGTAGACTCTTGATTAAACTTCCTTCAGACAACCCATTTCGGGGTCAAACTTGGGTGCTGAGAAAATTTTAGTGACAAGTAACCTCATAACCTCGGAATAACATTCAAAACGTCTATTGGACCTATAAAGCCGTTGTTCGTTAGGTAGAATGGCCTCAAAGGTCGATGAGCCTTTGCTGGGAAAGTTGACTTTCTGCTATTACGGTGACCGCAGTGTCCAGAGGTTGAGATGGGAGTGCCAAAACACTCGTACACGTTCTTTTATTAAATGAAAGGTGCCTGCGTGGTGGTAGCCTGTAATGAAACCTGACGGTTATGGGAATCAGTATGTGGCATATGGTAAGCACGAAAATACGTTAAGCCGACGAACATGCTAAGGTACAACACGGAGCACAAACAGGTTGAAGTGATAGCAAAATCTCCAAGAAAAACATTTGCAAGAGGTTTAAGGCAGTTTTTAATCTTGTCTGGAATAAAATTTTACTTGAACTTAATGCTCCTTCACGCAACTAAAAAGCCTACATTAGACAGTGATAAATAGGGTCAGCGAACTAGAGGTATTGTATTTGATTATCCATGAAGGTTGATAATAAGAGATTAAATCACACTTTTTACAACGTAGAGTTTCCCCTGCCTTCGATTAACTCCCGTGTCATGAGGTTAAAAGAAACACAGCATGTTGCTTTATCAAATTAGTAAAGCGATGAATTCCAATTGAAATTTTGCAATGTTAAAACGACCCTGTTTGACTGAAGAACACATTCCTTTTTTTGCTGCGTGAACCCATGTTTCATCCGCGGAAGAGATGTTCATTTGTCGGCTTTTGCTTCCCATTTGCCTACGCGACTTTCTATTATACCTAGAAATTCCACGAATTAGACAGATGAGAGTATTAAAGTGGGATGGCAACATTACCCCGAGAATACACAAATTAATCTTGAGCAAAATTAGCTGTAGTCGTAGTCAAGACTTTGGGCTTTGACTGCTTTGCTAGGTTGTACCAATATGTCGATTTTCACTGGTGAATTTGAAACTTTTCTCAAAATTTAGACGTTATTCGAAGCCTTAAAAATCTACTGAAGATGGTTTGCAAGATAAGCAATGATAAAAACTTGTGTGTACTGGTTTGACATCCAAACAATTATCCAGTTCTTAAGGTCTTCCTTGCAGAAGACGCCTTCTAATTTGGAATTGACACCTTATGGCATAAGAAAAAGGCTAACTTAGTGAAATGGTGACTATGTCTTACTGTTTGCTCGAGAAATGGCCAGACTTGTTGCCGGTCGTTTGCGACAACCCTCTGTTGGTAATTTGGCTCCCTCTGAAGCCAAAAGGAGAGGAGCAGTAGCTGATGACGGCACTGAATAATTACTGCTCGTGGAGGGGGCAGACACGGATGTCGTCGTTTGAGCCGTTGACATGGAGACTGAATGTGAGGGCGGGTCCACCGGCAAACGATTTCTGCGGGGCGTGAGGAAAAGAAACTCATGGATACGTTCTGCTTTTCTTATACGCGCTGCCACCCACATTAACTTAGCAGAGGCTTCTTTTCTCAACACATTAGTTTAAAGCATGCTACAGTTTCGTTAACACTTAGTTACTATCCAAACATTCAATAACGAAAGCCTGAAGAGATTATCGTTAATGTGGACGTTCTGGAGCTCATATTCCTACGTTATTTACGATGAGAGTATAAAAAACGGAATGAATTATTGATGTGCTCTCAATAGATGGTCCTTAAAGTGCACACACTGATATAAAGTTGATGCCCAGAAATACTATTAATGAACTCGTGGCTAAATATTCCTTATTTTTGTATTCTAAATGTGTACTCTGACGGCATGATTTTATCTAGTCCTTAAATAGAAAATGGTTTTCGATTTTCTTTTAAACGGTTTGGCTTGCCTACCCAGTGTTCACATTCCGATTGCTGCAGGCTATTCTTGTACGACTAAACCGAAGCTAACATTAAGGAACTATTACGCGTTCAATATATTTTTCTTTCCCGGACTTCAAAAGTGCACATTACATCTTCTTTTTCTAAAAATAGGTGAACTTATATTCTGCATTTCCAAAATGCCTGACAGGCGAAGTAACACGGCAAGCATTTTTGTTCTGCATATCTTACGCAGAATTCGATCTGTGATTAATGGACTTTAACGAGAAGCGTGTTTTTGTTAATGCCAAATTTTATGCTTTGCTTGAAAAATTTCCACTAGAACGGTGTCTACCAACTGTTCTGACATTTCGCATAGGCAAAAACAGCAGTTTATGTAGGAGATAGGATAACTCTACCGAGTTTCGAGAAGTCTTACTTTATTGATCAAGTAATGCCGCTATTGACAATTGAAACCAACAGAAGGACGAAAAACAATGCTGAAATTAATATCTTAATTATTTATGTGAACTGAATTAAAATTCAGGAGACCATAAAGGTGGAGGTAAAAGCCCCTTGTAGAATTTTTTTAGGGTCCCCTAGAAAACCACCTGTCGTGAATCCTGTTTATTCAACCCCCTAATCGGTCGCTCCACCTCCTACACAGGGTTCCCCTTGTCGCAGCATGTCGCCAGCCTCTCGGATCCTCAACTCCCCCTTCACTCACACGAATATCTATCTTGCATTATCCTCACGCCGAGGTCTCGATGTTAGCGCATGTATGACTCACACATCCGAGCTATAAATGCACACGCGCAAACACCATGCGGACACAACGACACCAACGTGGTTGACCTCTGAAGTAAACGCTTGTGTCCGTCCTCTCTTACCTTTTTCCTTCATCGCAGGTATCAGGCAAGCGTAATTGGGCCAGGACTGATTCCGTGGCCCCGACATGCTGGGGCCCACAACATACTATTGATCAGCATGATTAAAATTTTCCTCACTAATTATACTTTGCCGCACTGGTGTCATGGAACTACGTAAACGTCAACATAACTTTCAATAACTCTGGAAAATGTATGGCAGTTAGAAGCTCTTGCCAGGAGGAGAGTTAAGGTTCGATTTATTTGTGAGTTCACACGCTTTAGAAATGCGGAAGAACACAATCATTTGAATTTTTTAATTTCATTGCAAGGCCAGAAATGCATTACACATTAAAGTAGTCCACGTGTGGGTGTTAGATGTGGTCAAGGGTCACAGGTCAAACAGAATTCACTTCAGCTGCCATTCTATTAAAAAAACCGACAACTGATTCAATGTTACGTGTGCAGAACATACACTGAAAAAGGAAACTTGCAGTATAATGTCATCTTAAATTCTGTTAAGAAATTGTTTTTCGTACGAGTCCACCATTATTCCTTACCTCTGGCTACTGCTAACACGACCACACGGCGCCCAACTTAATTCGTCGTATTCTAACCGTACATCTGTTATTTGCAAATTCGTACAAAGAGGCTTAAGTGCAGTCCTACATCGTTGTATTCTTAAAGTTAACCGGCTGCCTTAAATAATGTCGAAATACTTAGCATCGTATTTTTAGTACCACTACTTGTAAATGTTGCCCAAAGTCATTATAGAATCACATAGCGCACATCGTAAACGCAATTTTTTATTAAGTTAAAGTCCGCCTTTTAAAAATGAAAAAAAGCATGCTTGTTTTACTTTAGTCCAGCTTCCGCATTTCTTTGCACGCTGCTTTAATCCGATTGATGCTTGAGAAATATGAACACTTGTGTTTCACTGCTTTGTTAAAAATTGATTTCACTTCATAACGGTTCCAGAAAACGAGTGCATTCAATGGCTGAAGTTAGATGCTCGTTAGCCTCTTCTCTCTTTGTCTCCTGGATAAGAATAAAAGCTATGATTTGCTCAAATAAGCCATTATTTGTACGCTAGGACACTCGTCCAGTTTGCAGTAAACTTTCACTAAACGAGCGTGAATGAAGCTTATTCATGAGTTGATCAAATGTCATCGATTGTAGATTACAATTGACGTTAGATATTCACTCGCTTTGCTATAAAAGACTCGGGTGGTCAAATTGATATAAATTACTTTGTTCGCTGTCATCTGTCTTGTCTTCCCCCGCGAGCTGTTACGGACTGTTGACTAGCAGGGTTGCGAGGCTGCGCTAACGGAGCCGCTACAAGTTAACTGGTGAATTCCTGCTGACTTATCTCCCCACGTAAGGGTCCTGGTGACAGAAAAATATGAACAGTCAGGGAGGCAGATTGTCTCTCACCGGCTTACTCCCATGACTTACATCCCATCATGGCTTTATGCAAGACTTTTTACTAGTACGTTTAAGTGAGTAAAGCATTAAGACGCGAGGTGCGTGAGTATTGTTAGGTGAAGTAATTGATTGCTACACCCCTACAGACAGACTAAGTTTTACTGAAACTGCACCTTGGTGCCTGAACCACCCTTATAGACACTAAAACTTCAAATGAAGTTGGTTTATGATTCACGGCTTTCCGCGTTTGCTTCTGACTGCCACCTGTCAGTGTATTTGAGCGGAAGGTTTTCCAGAAGGAAATCATAACTTGATTATTCACTCTAGTCACACGTTTCGGATCTATTTACAGACACATTATGGCAACATTCATGCGACAAAACAGTTATAAATATGCATTTTGAACAGTCATTTGTCGAAAACGGTTTATTTTCACATGCATTACCAATGTCAGCACAAAATGTATTTTCCATAAAATACCTAATTACAGTTCCTAACAAAATCCAAGAAATTTTTAACCATGCTATCAGCGGCATTATCAATACGATAATATGCAGGCTGATAAAGCAAGTAAGGGCAAATTTGCAAAAAACCCAAAAAAACTCTACAAAATGAGTACGTTGATCACAAATTTGCTTTTAAACCGAACTCTGGTAGAAATCTTCACAAAATATATGCTAAGTATTCTTGCCCTCTCTTATTTACCGGTCATTTAAGTGAAAACAGTAAAATGTGAATTTACTTAATATGGTTAAAAGGTCGGATCAGATGAATGTTTTAAAATAAATTTTGGGAATCAGGCACTGTCTTTACTCACACTTCCCTATTAATCATAAAGTAAAAACACGCACCGTTGAAAAATTCGATCCTATGGTTGGCATAGCATAAGACCTTTCATTAGAACTTTACCTACCGATGGTTTCCAGGATTTTTCGCGTTGGGCAATGTTTTTGGCATTGTGTAAATTGACACTTTCAGGTTGAAAAGATCAATTTCAACTCAACCTTACACAAAACAAACGCTTAATTAAAATATCGTTTTAACAATTATTTTAAACAACTACATTTATGTGCAGGTATTTTGAAAAGACCCTCAAAGTTTAAAGCAAACATTCTATTTTTACCCAAAGATTCTATTTTTTAGATTAACTATCACATTGTGATCCAGTTACCGGACTTAGAACTTATGTCAACATCAAAATTACGCGTTATTATGTGTTTATATAAAAACGGCTGAGTTCAGTTGGTCATAATTTAGACTTTTTTCAAGGCACCTAGCCATCATCTGTGAGCTGGCAGTTAAATTAGATGATGCCAAATAAGATGAAGCATAAACTACTAAAACTGTACAACATAAAATTACACCTTCCTCGTAATAAAACAAAACAGTATCGGAACCCTGTTGATATTACTTGTCGAATACTGGTATTTGGCGAAAAAATTAATTCGAATAGAAAACTGTTCAGGTGAACGGACATAAGCCAGTGTGGTCGACTTAAACTTTGATGGCTCTGTGGTTTCTTGACAGAAGCATTGCATGCTGTTTGCATTGCAATTCATGTAATCATTTAACCAACATGCTTCATTGAGTAAATAACGATTCTTCAATCAAGATTTCTAAACGCTTTGAGGAAAATTAAAATGTATAGATGCCGTGATTTTTTTGAAACTATGTATCAGTACAATGCATGGTGCTAAGCGATCGCAATTTGTTTAATAAATGCTGCTAGTTCTCTATCACTTGCCTTATGGCTTTGAAGAATATGTGTAGTTACATTGAATTGAAATCGCATGAATCGTAAATCACGCGAAGAAATCACTGCATAATGGCAAATTGAGTGGGGTGTTTGTTGCACCGCCACATTAGCCACCTATTCTCATTGCATTAGAACCATTTAACACACGTAGCATTAGTTGGAGGATTTGTCAGCAGTTTGTGCAGAATGTGGGTCCACGTAACACCGTATTATTTTCTGCTAAGCACCATTGTTAAACTGATTTTAGGAATGTGCAGAGTATGTCACGTTCAGTCAGGTTGCAACTGTGTTTATAAAAAGCCTTGCATTTTTTCGCCAAGTTCATCTTGCGCAAAGTAAGACCAGAGAGGCCGTCTTACCTCTTAACATCACTGATGCCGACGGTTATGAAACAAAGGGCTTACTGTTGCATCTGCCGATGGTTAAGCTGTATTCACCTGATCAGCATATTGTCTAACTAATCACAGTGATGACGTTTTAACGCAGCAAAACCTATTACGATTTTCACAACAAGATAGCAATAAGAACTTGGGT